TTAATCTAACCAGTATCACTTGTCTGTCACAATGTTACCAACATAATGTCCACATTTAATTACTTATAGTTCAGAGACTTGAATTTGTTTGATCATTTGATAACTTTAACAACAAAACCCCAAATTCCTTGTTAAATTTCCTTACCTATACAAAAAAATGATCTCCAAGGTATCCACTATGATTTTGCATTTTTTTTTTAAAAATCATCGTTTTTCTTTATTTATTATAGATAGTTTAGCATTTCTTAGAATTTATACAACATATTTTTGCCAAATCCAGCTTTACTGCCCCGAACTTCTATCGGAAAATAACAGTTGAAATACAACAGAACAATCACATGCATATGGCAATTATGTGTAATTATCTTGGGCTATGTCTTAAACTACAAAAAAAAAAACTGTTGCAAGTTTCTTGATAGCATTTGTTACATCGGTATTACCAAATTATGCAATGACATATCAAGCAAGCTTTCCAAAGGTTCATAAGTTGACATAACATTCTGCTGAGTGTCTAAAGGGAGGTTAGGCCCAACTAAGATATCCACTTGATGAAACAAAAGCTTGAGACAACATAGAGTTTATATAGATGATAATAAAAATACTACAAAAACCCTCTACAAGCATAACCAACTCAAATTGAAAATCTCGTGTACAACATAAATGAAAAGAGCTCATGTAGCTAAAGCACTTTCAAGTTTTGAATTTCCATGTCTTGGCTAAGTATAACGCTTCTTTCCCCATGAGTTAACCAACTGAGACCAGATTGGTTCCAGGCTACTCAAGTCTATCTGAGATCTTCTCAAAATAAATGGTTAGAATAGTTACTACTTACTAAGACTATAAAACCACATTAAGCCTCTCTGCTCTTTCATATGGGATATGGTCACAAGGAAAACAATTTTAATTAAAGGAACATATTGATCAAGTAGTGATGTTATTTACAAGAACAACTAACTTTCACCCTTTGGATAAGTTTTCCCATGTAGGAGAACCAATGATTTGAGCTCATCGTGCTAAATTACTCTGTTATATTTTTTCTAGTGTATTCATACCTCTATCTGATCATCATTTTGTATCTTCTCTTTTTTAAGCGCCACCAATGGCACTAGAAAAGGAAATCCAATGGCAAAAGGAATCATTTTTTAGACACTAATTGAAATTCCATCATGCAGTAGACTACCAAACATATACTCTATGCTCAAATAACTTATATTTGCTTTTACATTACAATTATATATTATTTCTAAAACATAAGAAAGCACTGCACAAAGTAGAATCATCAGAGCAAATTATCCAAAAAAACAAGTCAATCTCAAGATAATAAATTATCATTGATTAATAGAAAGATATATATATTAGTGCAAGATTCATGTTAACACTGTGATCTAACTATGATAAAAGATACAAACATCAAAAGCTGATATCTACCTGTGTCTTTCCTTTGTGTAAACACACCTTGGATGGCAGTAAAAATCTCTGGTGTAAATATATACACACCACAGTTGATACGGTCACTCACCTACAATGTTGATTTTATTTATAGCCATCATCACTAACTTGTTAGAATGATATGCAACATTCAGAGATTGTATCATTAAATAAAAACCAGCATGCATCAAACATTAGACTAACATATAATTGAGAGAAAAAGAAAAAGAAAAAGAAACCGCATACTCACAAAAGTCTCTGGTTTCTCAGTATAGTGGAGCAATTCATTTGTGACAGGGTCTGCGACCAATTCACCAAACTGATTGGCAGATTCAGCAGATACCTATAGAGAACAAAAACAGAAAGCAATCAGAAAAAGTTAACATTCTAGAATGATGTACCAATAACAAAACAATACCACATAAAGAAAATGATTAGAATAATAACGAGAGTTTTTCGACACCTTGATTACTAATAATGTTCCAAGCCCACCATATCTTTTATGAGCCTCTGCATGCACAAAGAGACTTCAAACCAGTATACAAGAGGACAACAACTAGTAACAATCAAGAGATATGTACTTATCGAAATCATTTGGTGTTGGAAAGAAATTCTCTTTTTTTTTTTTTCCGACATGATAGCAAGTAAAGAGAGTATCTCGCAAAATTAATGTTTTTATCATTAAACCATGGACTCAAAGGTCAAGCAGATGTCCATACTTATTTGAAGTGTAGCATAAACAAGATAAGGTAGCTTCAAAACATTAAGTAATTGTGAGGTGTGAGCTCTGACCTATAAGCCACATAAAGATAAGGGGCTTCTCAATAACTTAATTATGAATATGATGCAAAAACAACAGAACTTCAACTTTGAAGAATAGCCAACAGTAATGTGTGTGTGAGAGAGAGAAAGCGATAGAGAACTAATTGACAACTAAGTATACATAATATGTACCATCCCAGATAATGAATGGTATAAGTAACAAGATGTTGGCAACGACAACATAAATCATTAGAAAGAGCTACATCAAAGGATTACCAAGCATATCTGGCAGTGGGAAGCTCGAGCAAACATCACAGTTCAGAAGAACTATATGGGACTGCAAACAAAAAGAAACAGGTAAAGTAGAAGCACCGGAAGGGCCACAATGAGAACTAGTTGATGATATTACTGAATTCCTTGGTTTTGAATATGGAAATAAGGCACCAAAAGAAACGAGCAAAGATCTTCAATCATATAGGAAATAGCTTCAGATATCTAAATGAATAGTCAAGAAAATATGTCACACCGGGTCATCCTCCATTATATAATCCTTAAAGTTGTATAGCCCTCCCGCCGAGCCATGTGGCTTATCCTCCCGCAGATACCTAAAAGAAATTCAAAAAACCAAAAAGATTCGATCAAGCAAGCCTCCCGTATTTTAAGAATTCATGTGGGTATCAAGAAACAAGTACCGAACAGGGATTCTGAGCTCATTGGAGATGGCCGATACATATAGCGCAAACTCCCTTTCCTCGTAAAATCCAATAAGATATACTTGCACCAAATTGGGGATCTACATTACAGATCAACAAGAAGAGAAGAAATTGTTCAGCATTTGTGAATGCGCAGGATCCGGAGTAGCAAAATCAGCAACGAGACACACTATTCTGCAGGCCAATATCGGGTGATGGACCATCGGCTGACCAGCCAAGGGGAACAACGGCTTCGGAACGTTCAAAGAAAGAGGCCGGAAGCGAGTTCCTGCAACGTGTATCGGCTGTTCAGCCACAAATCCTCAAAAATTCATCCATCCAAGAACCCCAAACATTCGAGGGGAGAAAGGACACAGATCTAATAGATCGCACCTTTCGTGGGTCCGCCGACCATGATCACCGCCACCACCCTGTCCTCCGAGCTCCCCATGTCACCCTAATTCCCGGATCCGGAGCAACTCAGGGAACCGTCAAGCGATCATCAGATGCGCCGAAGAAACCCTAAATATGTGGCAATCTGGACTTGGAACAACAGAGATGGGGAGAGAAGAAAAGGAAGCGGAGGAGGAGGAGAAAGAGAAGGGAGGTGGTGACCGGTGCGTTGAGTGATCCAAGAAAACGCAGGACTCGCGTTTTCCTTGATCGAGGACAGGAAAACGAGATCGATGCAGCGCGAACGTGACGACGTGCTTCGTGTCTTCGTCGCCCTCCGTCCACTCTTGGAGTTATCTTGTACGCCGAGGAGTGAGACTGTAACGGTACGGATGCGGGTGACCCGACTCCTCTGTCTCTCTCTCTCGAACTGCGTGAAGCGTTGATGAAGTACGTTGGTAACGGTTCGGGTTTGGGTTTGCGTTCGGGTGTGAAAGATGGTTCAATTAATTAAATACCTGTGGGAGATTGGATCTCAGAAAGAAAATATATGTTTATATATTTATATTCTATTTGTTATTCCGTTGACGTGGTTAATTAGAGAGTCGTGCGTCTTAACCCATTCCGAAGGCGCAAGTTCATCGTGGAAAACCACGAGACGATTCTGGGTGGTAGTTGGAGTGGGCAAAGGTTCGGCCAAGGTGATCTCGAGGCGTAGCGAGGTGGATTCTGCACTTGATCATGGGGGGCAGGTTTTCCTTGACGTTCTGGAGTCGAGTCGAGGTGCGCCCTGGCTCCATCAAGGCTCATGCACAAGCGATCGACGTGGTGGAAGTTTTCAATTCGATCCCGGTAAAATTAATAGTAGAATAGGAATAATAGAAACTTTCATCCCTTTTTATGTTATGGGGATCGGTTTTTACACCTGAGCAACCAGTGCCAGAAGATTGATGACTTCTCCTCTGTAGTTCTTTAGAGGGTTCATTTATGTCAACGATCGATTGATACATTTCTCTACGATGCATCGTAAGTGAGAGGCCATCGCAAAGAGCGCCTTTTGTCAGGAATGGCTTCTACATGAGATAAACGGATGGTGGTTGCTTGCGTCGGGCAACTAGGAAAGGGGGAGATGAGCCTCGTCGCTAGGGATTAATGCTCCTTGCAAGTAGAAGACCAAAAAAAAAGGAGGGGAGACATGCCTCATTGTAAGGGATTAATGTTCCCTACAGTCGGGCATGTGACCTTTCCCGAAATTGTGATCGGTAGGGGGTGGCGGGTTGCTTCCCTGACGCTTGCCATAGAAAAGGGGTGACACGTGGACCCTTCTACCTTCACCACTGTCTAGGTGGGCGCATGTTGTTGGGTGAGTTAGTAGGTCAAAGCTAATATCACCTTATTCCCTATCATTTGTCGCCCCGGAAGGTGTGCTTCGAGGCTCCGACAAGGGGGTTCAAGGCACGCCGTTCGATTATTTTGCTCTGTCGAGGTCATCGGAATCGAATTCATTGATTCCTCCACTTTGGATGTATCCCATTTGGTGTGCCCGAAGGGATAAGTCATGGGTCGAGTTTCCCGACTTGCCCGTGCGCTTGTTTGTCCCTGCCGTGAGGAGCCTTGGTCCTTGTCGTAGCGGTCTTAACGTTCGCCATAGTTGTAATCAAATCTTTAATTTATGAATTGATTTTTATTTTCTTACTTGCTATTGTAATTTAAGAAATAGCTATTAAGCATTCTAAATATAGTGATATTAAATATCATATTTGTTAGTATATTAAATAAAATTAATATTATATAAATATAAAAGGTTTAAAAAAATTTCTTAAATAGATGGTTCACCTCCTCCTATTTGAGGGGAGGATTTCCTTTTATTCGTTCCTCACCAAGGAAATGAGGAGTTGTATCTTATCAAGGAGAGGTAGGGTTTTTTACTTTTCTTGAAAAATAAAAGTTTTTTTGATTCCTTTCAATGTTGAAATTTTATTTTTAGATTAAAATATTTTGTATGAAGTTCAAAAATATTTCTTGATCCTTTAAATGTTAAAATTTTTACTATTAGATTAAAATATATTATCTAAATTTTTTTTGATATTCTTTGATCCCTTTTAAGGTTTAAAATTTTATTGTTTGATTAGATTATGAATGTATTAAATGTATTCATGTCATATGTATTGAATGTATGATTTCTAATTTTTATTAAATTATGAATATTATTTGCTTATATTAAAATTTATATTTCAATCTTATCTTTTAATATATTTTTAATATATTATTATTAATGAATATATATTATCATAATTTAATATTAATGAAATTAGATAGAAATTAAGTTGAAACAGCTCATAGGCCAGGCCTAACTCGTAGGTTATGCCACAACTCATTAGCTAGGCTCAGTCAACAAACTAGGCTCAACCCGTAGGTTAGGCTCTAGCCCGCAGGCTAGCTTAGCCCAGCCCAATATGGGCGATCACGTGCAACGTACATAACCAATTCATGAGCCAAGAGTTAGCCTAGCATGGTGTTGTGTTTGCATATGAGTAGTGTATGGGTTGGCCCAACCTAGCATAATATTATGCATGAATTTGAGCCCAAACATTGATCGAATCAAACAAGATTTGGTTTGACTTATTCAAGTCTATTTAACTTAAATTAGATCTAATGTAATCTAATTTATACTAAGACTATGATGGTTTCAGACCAATTAAATGAGGATTAGAGATCAGCTCAGTTGTATTAATTAAATCGAGTTCAATTGGATCGACGGAACTAAGGTTCAAGTCAATTGAGGGCTAATTGATAGCATTTGATATTAATGATATTTGAATAAAATATTTGAATATGTCATTTTATCCTAACATATAAACGATCAATATGAGATGATGTTATTTTTAGATCAATTAAATAAAGATTAAAGATCGGTTCAATTAGGTTCCAATTAAATCAAGTTCAATTTGATCGATTAAACTAAGGTTCAAATCAATTAAGGGTTAATTGGTAGTATTTGATATTAATGATATTTGAAAGAAATATTTGAATGTGTTATTTTATCCCGACGATGAGATAATGTTATTTTCAAACCAATTAAATGAGGATTAGAGATCAATTTAGTTGGATTCTAGTTAAATAGAGTTAATTGGTAGCATTTGACATTAATAATATTTAAAAGAAATGCTTGAATGTATTATTTTATCCAAATATAGACATATAGATGATATTATTTTCCTACAGAGGGCAAGTATGACGATTCCTTTCAAGGATTAGCTTGTCATCAAACGTGGTGGTTAGACAATTCTGTCATATTGGGAGGAACATGTTCCCACTTTGACGGGTGAGGGACATCACTCTATCCATTATTGAGAGTGCAATATAGGTTTGTCTCTATCCACTATTGGGAGAACACAAACTTATCCTGTAAGATAAAGTCTCTTCATCCGTTGTTGGGTGTGTACTCCTTTGAGTATTTGATATATGCTAAAGGGATGATTAATTTTTGATCATGTATTCATTTTTAATTGACTTATAGGGGTTTCTACTCAATGTTACTAATTTTTTTTTTTTTTTTTTCAGAGCAATCTCCCACTAGCACTAGACTATATTCAAGTAGAGAGCAGACTTTTTTCTATTGCTAGGTAGAGCCACTTGGATGTTTCTTCGAATTAACATCACTATGTTCTTCGATAAATACTTTTGACATATATTTTGACGAATAAATGAATTGAAATAAATATTTATAAGTTATGAATAAAGTGATGTTTATTTATTTGGTTCTAAATGTACTTATAGAAAGATATGATCCTATAAAAAAAATCTAGGATGTTACAATAACTGGTCTTCATTTTGCCGTAGCGCGCTTTAGGGCTCCATCATAAAGGGTATTCTCTCCATTATAGCGGGCTTGAGGTTTTGCTGTAGTGGGATAGGGGCTTCACAGTAGTGAGCCTCTCCGTCATAGTGGGCTTTAGGTCTCCATTGATTAGGGAGTCGGTATGACTTATCCTATCCCAAAGGCGTTAGTTCGTCTTGGAGAACCACATGGCAGTTCTGAGTGGTAGTTAGAGTGGAGGAATGTCTGGCTGAGGCAATCACGAGGCACTGATTGTCCATCTGAGATGGATTCTACACTTGACTGTAAGGGTCTGGATTTCTTCAGGGTTTTGGAATCGAGTCGAGGTGTGCCCTATCTCTACCAGGCTCTCGCATAAGTGGTCGGCATTGGGGGAGTTCCCAACTCGACACTTTCGATGATAAAATTAGTAGTGGAATAAGAATAATAAAAATTTCTAATCTTTTTTCAGATTCTAGGGGTCGACTTTTATACTTTGAATGATTGGTGGCGGGAGGTTGATTGCTTTTCCCCTGAATTCATGATTCTTCGAAGGCTCATTTATATTGAAACCGGTTAATACATTTCTATGTGATGCATCAACGAGGGGCGGCTACACGGGCGCTGTTTGCCACGGCTGGCTTCTGCACGAGATATACGGATGGCGGTTGCTTGCATCGAGCAATCGAGAAGATGTTCCTTCGTCGTTCTGCATGGTTTTATGTAGCTCGGGAGACGGTTGAGTCTTGTAGTGTCCAACAAGAGGTTACATGTAAGCATACGCCCTAAAGATACTGGTGATCGCCTCAGCATCAAAGAGGGTGCAGTGGAAGTACTAATAGGGTGGTGGAAACAAGCTTCTCCTCCGATAAAAATGGCGGGTCTCAGGCATCCAAACCATGCCTCCTCACTGAGAAGCTCCACTGCATCACGGAAGAGTATGTTTCGTCTCAGCCGAGAGTGTGAGCTCCACCCATTCTGGAAGAGGAGGAAGAAAGAGACTCAAGTATATAAAGCTTGCAATGTCCATGGCGGCCGAGTTCATTAGGACTGACGTGGAGCATCGTATCTTCTCGTGTTAACATGTGGTAGCCTTAAGTGCCTCGTTATTCGACGTACATCCACCACGTCGAGCTACTGCATCCATCCCTTACGACTTCAGATGGGAGACGTCTCGATCTGGTTGTGTGGATCATGAAATGTTAGCTTTTTCTCCGCTTCACATCACGGCTTCTCTCAGACAACAACAACAACCGGTCTCAGATTCTAGATATGCCTTACTCCGAAGGAGTCGCAGAAAATTAACTTCATGTAAATTTTCTTACGTCCCTTGATGAATCGAAGAAGTGATGGAAAAGTATTATGGAATGAGAAGTCAGATGAGTGCACACGGGAAACGAAGAAGAAACAGAAAACCATGGCTTCATGCCCTGGATTTCGAGAATTCTGCATGCGGTACATACGACTTCTGCTTTCATCTTGAGTGCCTGCAGTTGATTAGAGAAGAATTGCTTGACCGGTCAAAGCACGCTTCGTATCGCCATGTGTCTTATGCTTATACGTCGATGATCCAATCCCACGGACCGCCGTTCTTGTCAGTCTGTGGGTCCTAAAGTTACGTCAACTGTTTAGGTTGTGCCTTTTATTGCGTCGACGCATCCCTTCCCCTGCAACATCGGACGCCCACGGAGAAGCTTAGACGGCACCAGTCTCACTTCCGTAAGCGTAGAGGAGCCATGGAGGACGTGTGGTCTTGGGTCGCCGCTCTCCCTGAGCCATCGCGATGGCCTTCCGCCCCTCCGTCTCTTGTTCTTGCGTCAGCCGACGAAAAGACGATCTGCCTCGCAGCCGACCGCACCGCCGGCTCCGGCGCGGAGACCCTCCTCACCTTCTCCATCACACTCCACGATTTCCATCCCTCCAACACCTCTCGTGCCCTATGGCTGTCGGATCCCGTATCCCCTTCATCCCCTCATATCCCTCTCCTCCTCCAGCTCCTCCGTGAGAGTATCTCCAGCGATCAAGTTCGACCAGGAATCCGTTTCGGGTGCCCTCGGTGGTGACGAGCAGACTGCATCTTTCTTCTCCCTCGTTTTCTTCCTCCGGCTTTTCTGGACTTGCGCCACTGAAGCTCCTGCCGACGCCGGCTTCCTGTTCTTCCGAGCTCTTGACTCCCCCTTCGAGCAAGCCCTCGGCTGCCGGATCGCTCTACGTGGCGTCCTCCTTTCCCTCGGGCCGGACGTCGAGGAGCGCTTCATGCGCTCCCTCGGCTACATGCTCACCAAGTGGTGCATCCTCCGCGAGCTTCAGGGCGGCGACCCTAGAGGCCTTCTCCCGGTCGGCTGCTGCCCCTCCTACGCCGCAGAGAGGCACGGGCTTTGGGTCCTGAAGGGCTTCGCTCCGGTGCCGGCCATGGCCCGGTTTGGTTCCAGCGGCTCGACCGGCAGCCCGAACCTGGAGCCGAGGGACTCCGTGCTGCGCTACACCTTGGCCGACCAGCAGCTCGAAGCCGTGGTACAATTAGAGTCCAGGGTCTGCATGCGAGACCCGCGGTTTATCCGGGTGAGCGTGCGTGTCGACAGTGTACGGCTCAACGTGGTCCGGCACCGGTTCGGGAGGCGAAAAGAAGTGGATGACGGCGTCCTGGAGGCCGAACGGCACTTCCCGTCGCGGGCCCGGGTGTGGGTGGGGCCGGAACTGGGGTCGAGCTACGCCACCGGCCCGAGCCTGGGCCGGTCGAGTGGGAACCCGGAGCAGGAGGTGGAGGCGACGCGTACGGTGAAGGGGCGGTTCGGGGAAGGGAAGGCGGCCGGCGTGAAGGCGACGGCACGCACGGCGACGAGGGCGCGGGGGCGCAGCTGGCTGTGGGAGCAGGAGGCGGAGGGCGGCGCGGGCGTGTTCGATGGGGTGCTCCACGACGGCGCCACGGGGGCGGAGGTGGCGGCGTCGAGGCCAGAAATCGGCGCGGGCGGCGGCGAAGCGGACCGGAGGGCAGGGATGAGGCTGAGGTACAGCGGGTCGGGGAGGGCGTTCAGCAAGGCGGGCGGGGTGGTGGTGGCAGGGGACGAGCTGCCGGAGACGATAGAGTGGAGGGTGGGAAGGGAGATGGAGGGGAGGGTGGTGAGGTGGAGACTCGGGGTCCGCGTGTGGGTCAGTTACTTCGCCAATGAGGTGAAGACGGGCTACTGCGAGACGAGGAGCGTGGAGTGGCGGGAGGAGGTGGACTTGGCTTTGGTCGCAGGAACAAGTGAGCTCGCAGCAAGATGACTTTGGAGGGAACGCATTTGGGTTTAGAAGCGGTCGGCTCAAAAATAAAGATCGCAAGGCCGGCCCATTTGGAAGCGGTCCGTCCCCGAAGAGGGCCTTTAAATAACCGTCGGCCCTTTCCAGTTACAACAGAAATCCCAAGAAGGCCACAATGGTGAGAAATGGCGAAGTGGCCAAGTCCATCGAGGCAGGCGATGAACTCGATCCCACTTCGGCGGCGTCGGCGGGTCTTCTCGACGTCTCCCTCAACATGTGGCCGCCGTCGCAGGAGTCGCGGGACGCCGTGATCCAGCGCCTGGTCGAGACCCTTTCCTCCCCCTCCGTCCTCACCAAGTGCTACGGCGTCGTCTCCGTCGAGGAGGCTTCCTCCATTGCTCTCATCATCGAGCAGGAGGCCTTCGCCGCCGCCAATTGCGACGGCGTCTGTCCCATCTCAGACTACGACTACGGGCTGGAGATCCTCCAGATCTACACCAGGGAGATCGGGAAGCGCATGATCGAGTTCAGCAAGTCGAGTGCCCCGCCTGCCTCACCTGCGCCCATCGTCGTGGTCGCTGCCGACGATTTTGTTTCGATCATGGTAGATTCCGCCTCCACCACCGATGGTGATAGGGAGGTATACTCGTCCACTGAATCCGAGTCTTCTTGATTTCAGCCTCGGATCACTAATCCGTAGGTAACTTCGCTTGTTTGAATTCTCTGAATCATGCATCTGTCATCTGTTTGCTGCAATGTTGGACAGCGTAGATATAGTGCTAATCGCATGAGACTTGTTGTTCAGACGTATACATAAGAGTAGTTCTGGAGCTTTAATCCGTTTGCTGCTGCTTTCAGTTCATCCAATATCGTGCTGTCCTTTTTTCTTTTTCCTCTTAACTTTCGATGCGTGAATGCAGATTCTTGCGGGACTCCTCCTGTTTTATGTTTATTCTACTAAAATATGGATAGATTTAGTTTCCCTTGATGATGATCGGAAGGGGAGAAAAAGTGATGGTATGAGAGAGTCATGGAAATCATAGAAGAGGAACTGAGCAATGCTTAAGGAGATGAGAGAAGAGTGTAATTGCATTCCAAGATTAGTTAGCGAGTTGTCGGGTATTGAGATTAGTTGCTCAGGCTCAGGCAGATCTTGGGCTTGGCCCAAAGTTATGTTTATACCTTCAAGGTCTTGATTGCTCTGTTTCTTTATGACCAATCTGGAACAGAATTTGGGGATTAAAGATTTATGATATGACATGCAAGGAAACCAAGGGAAGGATGGTATTAGGAAAATTAGTTGGAGAGGTGACATGCTTTGAGATCACAGGTTTTGGGCTGTGCTTTGGGTGCAGGCCAGGCCTGTAATCCCATTTGTCTCTTCACTCAGCTGGACAGGGGCTTGAGTGTTATCTTCTTTCAGTTTATGGCAGATCTTTAAGGGAATTGGGGCCTTAAAGATCTGTGAAATGAGATTGAAGGAAAATAATTTGCAATAGAAAATTTTGGTCTTAAAGTACTAATACTTTATTTTTGTAATAATTAGCAGTTAAACTTTGTTTTTGTCTGAGCCTCCTTTAATGATAGGTTTACAGAAGTTTCAATAACACCATGTTTTAGCTGCTATCTTACAGTTTTCAGATACATGTCCCACATGAGCTGTATAATAGTCTATAGTATCAATGAACCAAACCTAAACGAGGTAAAGATAACTATATGCTTTTGCTATCATTCACTTAATTTTTTGTTTGTGTTGATGTCAATAGATTTAATCGCGTGTCATTCTTTCTGAATATACATACATCCCCTCTTGGTCATATTCATGGATAAAATGATTGGTCTTTGGTTTTTAGTACTGCTTTCATGAGGTTTTACTGCCCCCACACCTTCAATTGACTTAGAGCATTTAGACTCTTCAAAGACTTTAGACTCAAAAGACTTTAGACTTTCGTTAGGGAATGTCGAAAGCTCCATACTACCCCTAACACTCCCTACTACTTGTGTGTTATAACATATGCTTTAGAGGTTTGACATATTTTCTCTCTACCTACTATGGCTACAAAGTTAAGAGGGTTCTAAACTTGTAACAAAGGTTGTAAAAGGAGGTACCTTTTTGTTTCTTCAAGGATCGGGTGGTTGATCAACCTAACCCGGTCCACCTGAAAGTTTTTTAGTGCCTCCCGCTATTGCATAGGTCAGAGAAGGAGCAGTTTAGTTGAATTGTTCTCTTCCTATCTAAGTCCGTCGCCATCCTTTAGATAAGTGAACAATGGCTTTTTAAGGTATGGTATTGGTATCTTAACATTTTCATTTGTTTGCCCTAAGATTGATCTCATTATTCTTTTTGTTGACATGGATCTCCTCGATAATGTGTTTGTTCCAAGTTGTCAAGTGACATAGGACAAAAACAAAGTAGGTGGTATCACACCCATTCATGAGTGTGCAGCGGGAAGAGCAAGTCGACTTGGAGCAAACCAAAAAAAAAATCTTATGGGCTCACCCAAAGTGGACAATTCATTGTGAACCCTTATACTTGAACCAATGATGACTTATCAATTGGTATTACGAAAACTTAACTCCTCTACTACTGGGAGGATACTTATAAGAACATTTAATTTCATATTGGTTGAGGAGTATGAAAACTAAAACCTTATAAGTGCTAGCATCATTTTTCATTTTTTACCCTCAAAGATGGGTTCACCTCGAAGAGGCAAAACCATAGGACTGAAGGAGACAAATACAAGGGCGAAAGGATGATGCACCTTCGAGACATGATAAGGATAAAAGGGGAATACCAAAGAGATGAAAATAGGTAGGAAGAGCTGAGGCCAATTGGTCTATTGATCGAATTAAATCATCAAATTTTAAAAATAATATTATTTAGATTAAGAGGATAAAGCTAATATTTATAAAAAAATTTCTTAATTAATTCTCAATAAAAAAAAAACATATTCACTTACAGAAGATTGCCGATTGAAAGAGTTATCTAAAATCAATATTTTTTCAAGATATCTTCCTACAAAAGAGTTCAAAACAGATAAATTCTTTGAAAATGAGAATGTCACCAAGTTACTGGGATTAAAATTGATCCCAAAGTCTCTTCACCACTTATTTTTACAAAAAAGAAACAGATAAAGATATTTTCACAAGGCATCAAGAGGCCCTTTTCAGTAGTGAAATTTTAGGATCAGTCTCCAACAACAAAAAGAAAAGGGAAAAGAAATAACAGAAAGAATGTATTCACTTAATATCAATACATTGTTAGCATAAAAAAACATGTTAACACACTCAAAAGTGAAGGAAGAAAATGTTGACATGACTTAAAACATTCCACATTCTACAGGACTTCATTGTATGTAATTTTCGTCCGTTTTGAGAAAACAAACATATAGCTTTTTGTATACCGATCAGCTGACAGCGGCCATCAGAAATATGTATCAATCCTCATCATTAAGGTTTACAAAGAGAAGATAGATACAACATTCAGATTCACAGACATCATAATCGGGAAAATTGGGCTCCATTAGGACCGATGGGATTAGAATTAGGCTCGATACAAATCTTAACCTACAGATTACTTCTCACACCTAATTTACAATTTCTGAAATCTAGCCGTACCAAGCCGCTGCAAATAAAATAAATGGCAAGAATAAGAAACGAAAAAAGAGATCAAATGGACAGAGGGGTTAGTTCTTTACAAGAATTAGATCACATAATTTGGTCATGCTTGACTGGCCGCAGCATATTGATCAATCTGACCTCTAGTATCCAAGTTCACCTGTTGGAGACTATAACTCTGTACAAGAATTAGATCACAAAGAAGCTGAGCAGCTCGCGCATGTCATGGAGGTGGTCACTATTGAGAGTGTCCCTGTACCATGACTCCAGTATTATGCTTGAACTGGGGCCTATCGTGCTTGAACCAGTGCCTAGATTCAGCGCTGTCTGTCTCCCCAGTTGGCCGGGGACCTTGCATGATGTAATGGCACACAGATCCCCCAGGCAGGCAGTAGATAATATGTAAGCCAGCGTTAGGCAAGTACAGGTCATCTAATGTCTTTTTCACGTCTGTATGTAGACTTAGTCTTCTGCTTTGTTTCCTGCAACTGCTGGCTCAAGCTTCTTTCCTTCAAATCCTGTTGACAAATATTTGGTAGAAGAGTAAGCAAATATAATGGATTCACTAGGAAACACGGAATTAGCAAACTTTAGTGGTCAGGCACTAACATTTTTACTGTTTGACAATGATGATTTCGGCTTCTCCATCTCTCTCGCCTTTTGGGCTTTCTTCTTCTCAAGTTCAGCTTGCTGGCAATTCTCCTGATGTGCTCGCTTGAACATCAAAATGAAGTTCAAAAGTGTAGAGAGAACTGCATTAACGATTTCTGCAGATCATTTTAACTGGAGAACAAATTTTACACACATCAAGGACTTGATTAACAAGTGGATATATTAGTTTGTGAATGGACTTAATTAACAAAGGTGAGATGGCACACAAGATGATACTGCAATAGTACAAAAACAAATCAGACCGCTTCATGACAGATAATATACAAGGTTGAGGAGAGCTGATAGCTGCACACACACCACAGTTTGGAAAGAAGAGATTAAGCATGCCAAATCAGTATCGATCATAAAAATTGTGACACTATATATATATATATATATATATATATATATATATATATATATATATATATAATCATTCCCCTAAACTGGAAGCTCATGGATATTCTCACTACCTTCAACTCTTATTTGACTGCTATGTTATCCTTTCAAACCCAACATTTAATCAAAAAAACCATTATGATCAAGGTTATCAGGCACACTATTTTGTTTATTCTCCATTCTTAACATAAAAGTTCAGTTGCAGACTCTATCTACTCGTTCTCAGAGTCTAAGAAGTTGATTTTATGCCCTGTTAGAGCAGCTTATACATGACATTTTACCGATAAATCACAAACTTCTTTGATAACTTCATCATATTGTGAGTTTACTCTTGTTTTGTTCTTGTGAAAGTGTATAGTTCTGAAATAACAATCCACTTCTGTTGTCACATGTAATTTATCACTCTGATACAATCAAATTGCTCATTCATTCTTGCTTTTCTACTTCAAAGAAAGAGTAGCATATAGTATGGTGTCCTTTTTCATCCTTGTTTTTCATACTATGGTGTCCATATACAATCAACTTTATCGTTGGTCAAATTTCATCCTTGTTTTTCTACTTCAAAGAAAGAGTAGCATATACTATGTTTTGGACGATATATCTGATAAATCATAAATATCAAATCTAGGATAAATTCCCTGGAAAAATTCTTCATTTTGGGCTTTTCCCTAAAGGTGTCCTTTTTCTTTTTCTCCTGACAATGCCCCCTTTCCCTCATTTTGGACTTTTCCCTGGAGGTATCCCTTTTCGTTTTTTTCCTAACAGTGCTCCTTTCCCTTAGTCTCCAAAATCCTCGACAGGATATCCATGACAGTTCCAGCATTTTTCCTATGGACCAAGGTCAATTGATCCAAGGATTTGGACCAAATGTCACTATTCCTATAGACCAATCCAATCCTCATTTTGGGTTTAACATCAAAAATAATATTCTTCCTCTTCACATATTCAACCGAGCAACCCATCTCTTCTCCTCCCCTTCTCCTAAAACATCTCCACTCTTCCACCTTCTCATGAAATATGCAAGTCTTCTCCACCTTTTAAAGTTCTTCCTCATTTTGTGTTTCTACTTATAATGGTCTCTCTTTGTATAACATTATACTTTGATCCATCATAAGTTTTGTATATTAAGTATGTATGTAATGAAGAAAATCAGAACAAGTATATAACTATCCAATTACAGTATTTTTCAACACCCTCAGTATCCATTTTAAGAAAACAAAAGACTATAATCATATTTTAAATATTGTAACCACATTTTAAAAATAACATTTTATAACTTGAAATGTTTGTGTAAACTCCTCACTGTAAATTATGTTCATATGAATTAGAATTCTAAATTTAGTATATCTTGAGTTTGTATATATAGAAAAAAAATTTGTGACTACTTATTTATAATATTTACAGTGTTGACACTGTAGTAGTTACAAAAACACTATAACTGATTTCTTATCCTTTAAATCCCCTTGGACCGTTCATGTGGAATATCTTATTAGACCCTTCTTCAAACCTCATAAAAATCTTATTAAAAAAGAAATAGAAAATGATAAAAAACTTTTACACTTACACAAGAAAGTGGAAGAATAGAGATGTCTTAGGAGAAGGGGGAGTGGAGATGGGTTGCTTGATTGAATCTGAGAAAGAGGAGGAAGACCACTGTTTTTGGTGTTAAACAAAATGAGGATTGAACTGGTCCATAAGAACAGTGACAATCTGTCCAAATCCTTGGACCGGTTCATCAGTTCATATAAGGGGCTTTTCTAGGGAATTCACCCTAGAATTCTAGGGTATTTTAGGATTAAGGGAAAGGGCACCTCTAGTAAAAGCCCAAAATAAGGGACTTCTCTAGGGAATTCACCCTTATATCTATAGATATATATTCAACATACCATAAATCTTATCTTATTAGAAACACCTTTGACAACTAGGAACCATATATTTATAAGGGAAAATGCTAATTACTTACAAAATCACTTACGAGCAGACAGCAGGAATTGGAACATCTTGCTATAGATGCGTCAATCATATCTCCCTCTTTGCCATAATCATGATTGATAGCTCACTAATAATTTTCAATTAGAAACCAAATCATTTTCTTGAATATAGGGCAAAACATGGAGTATGACTCGAAGCTTTAATGAAGACTTGACAAGACTTTTGTAATTGCCTGTCAATTTGATGTCAACTCTTTATAACCATCATATCCAAAATAAGTTTATTAAGGGTGGATCTTGCCCATGATTCCTAGGTACTAGTAAGTGGCAAAAAACATCTACTACATTAATTAACCATATTGTGGTTTATTCCACTAAGGCAAACTAAAGTTGAGTCCCTATTCAGCATAGCACAATCCTTCTTATCCATCAGTAATTGCCAATCTGAGCATGAATCAAGTTGCAGATTGCCCCTTTTCAGCGAGTTCAGTCTAAATTAAATTTTTTTTAACACTGACGTCACACACAACTTGCCCACCCAGGCCACTGTCTACAGCTTGTCGCCCGTCTTCTACCCCTACTTCCTCTTCTATTCTTCTCCTCTCTTTCTCTTCTTCCTCCCATCTCCCTCTGGTACCGATACCTGCATACTGTGTCTCGGGGATGCTAGCATGGACTGAACTGGTACTGGTCCAGCCATGGACCAGCAAGGGTCCGGTAATTGAAATAAGGAATCTATTCCATGATCCTCGTAATAGAAGCAACAATTCTAAATTTCCCAAGACATGAGAGAGTAAATGAGAAAAGAGAATGACAACACTACTTTGTGAGGATCAAGTTACATCTTAAAAAGGCATGAACAAGCCAAATAGCCAATGGGAAAGTAACATTTACAAATGATCCAATAGAAAGACAACTGTTGAGTTCAGATTGTTTCCAATTTCAAGAAAAAACATAACCACTAATCACCACTATATTATCAGTTAAACATAAAGTCAGAATGATCACTAAATGAACTACATATTCAAGGAATAGCAATGCTCAATTTTGTTGTTTCAATCAGAGAGATGCAGTATAGGCAATTACACAATTTTTGCAAGACCTACCATCACAAGCATAATAGAAGGGTAAAATATGCTTTTTAATAGATCTAAAAGAACTGCTGATAGCAATTTGATAAAGAAATCTAAGTTTCTAATCTTTGTATGGCCTAAGTATGCATCAGAAGAAGGTATAATGAACATAAATCATGAAAATGGGTGTTGATGGTTTAAAAAGAATTGAAGCCTTCATTTAACAAGACTAATCCAATAAAGAAGCTACTAGACCTTGTTCAAGTGGACATTTTGCAGGATTTTCACCAAAATATAGTACAAGAGCATCTGCATTTCTACCCTGTCAACACTCCAAATATGTAAGGAAGATGTGTGATACGTAACATGGTAGACATAAAAAATCAGTGATATATGTTCTTATGAGTGACTAGCAGGCAGCCCACCACTGATGTATATAATGTTGTTAGTGACCGCACTTCAGCTTCAGCAACAACAACAAACTCCTTCAAGGTCTAAACAATAAAAAGGGCAATGAGTTAATAAAAATTTGATGCACATGAAAATCTGGTCCAATCAGGGAAAAAGAAGAGAAATAAACAACCTTCACATATCAGACTCTGAGTTAATAGGACTTATCACAGCATCACATATATAGCATATATTGAGCTGGATATGTAAAAAATAAAATATAATCAGCTGTTTAAAATAAGCTAAAATATGAACAAGGAGTGTGATGTATGGCATGCCACATAAGCGACAGTGATGTGATGATGAGTACTAAATAATGTATTGTTAACACATTACATAGAATGCAATGATAATGGATTAAATTTCAAGCCAAGAATAACAAAAAAATATTTCAACTACTAGGCTACATAGGACATTTTCTGCTTTCTACTATCAAGTGTCATATCGTTGAGGCAAAAAAAGGACTTTTTTTTGCATTACAACTCTATCAAGGGCGACATCCTTCCTTCAAGGAAAAAAATATACACCATGCATTCTGCTACCGATCAACTTTCTGCTCTTCATCTCCCTTGGGACTTCTATTTCAAATTAACCAAGTATTGCACAGTAGACTTTGTGTATGGTTGAACAGCTATAACAAGCATATGCTTTTTCCACATCCCTCACTACCAATAGCTTATCAAACCACATCTGATGTCCGAGCTTAGCATATTCTCAAATCATTGACCAGTAGTAGTCAAACAGGGCTCTGCATCTCACCAAAAGTTACAGCTGTTGCACAGGATAGCTATATCATTGAAGATGCCGGAAATGGTAGAACCTTCTTTTTTATAAGTTTGTTTTTTGGCATTTCCGTTCCTTCCCTTTCACTATATTTTGGCCAAACCAATTAGCCCATTCTTCAATAAGCACATAGTCAGAAATCACATTCTCCTCCCACTACTTGAGAGCTCATGATCTCATATGTTGTCACCCATGTATCTTTAGTGGTGCAAGGTGATCCTTACTAGTTTTCATAGGATTCCATATGCCCCATGCTACTCCAGTAAGATCTAATCATTCTTAAAAAGCACATTGTCAGAAATGACATTCTTCTTAGTTCTTACAGTGTTCAAGAGCTCATGGTCTCATATTCCCCGCATTGAGTTTTTTTTCACCTTTCGCTCAGAGTATATTCACTATTGTCTCAAGGAGTATTTAGCCCTACAAGGTGATCCTTACTAATTTACTATTTGTCATCATTTCCCTCATCTACATGTGTTTGACTTGCCAACATGCATGTATAAATGGATTTTTTTTAAGCAGGAAAAAAAATCCAGAAAAATCCAGATCACAGACTGAAAACCTTTGCATTCTAAGCATAAACAGCAAAGTAACAGTAACTTGCTCTGACTGTTCAATCCTCCATTAATAGCATCACATTTTTCCACTTCTCCAACCTATCCTTCTGGATCACAAATCATCCATATATATAGTAACACGAAATCTTTTTCTTGTCAAGTGGAGATATACCAGTTCATCTGCTTCATTGATAATGGGAAATTTTGACTGCCTGTCTATATAAGCATCTAAAGCATAATCAATATGCCCAATGTGCTCAAGTAAATGGAAATATTTTTCGGATGGCAATGACAAAACGATACGTGATTAGAAGTTTAGAACATGTTATGCAAAAAGACATGTGCAATGTAGATGCATCTAAGCATTCACATAATTTCCATATTAAAAAGAAAACTAAAAAAACTTATTTGCAAGCAAAATTGTCAAAAGGGCAGTAGGAATTCAACATTTAAATGCCCACGAACAATTTGAAAAAATCTACAACAACTAAATATTTAAAAAGACAACTTGAATGATGGCATACTTTGCAGAAAATTTCTGAGGCGGGGCCATCATTTTCAGATGCTTTCAGCTCCACTTCAACCTTCCTTAAACCCTTGACAATGGCTTGCATTTCTTCAGCCAAGGATTTTAATTGTATCTGTATATGGAAACTTGTAGGTAAATCTATCACTTGCATGCTGTAGTATAACCAACAATAATAGCAAAACAAAATAAAACCTTTGATGTAGCTTCCAAGCTAATAAGATCCTCATGAAAATCCAGAAGATGTGGAGATCTCGAAGCAAGCGACTGATTTCATGCCAAAATGTTTATAAGATTAATAGATGAAACAATATATCGAAGAAAAAAGGAGAGGAAAATTGACAGTATAAAGAACTCCATTTTGACATGATGAATCTATGATTACAAATTAAACAACATTCAAAAGTTTTGGCCAGGTTTGCTATTAATCCTCTATGTTTGCATATATCATTTACTCTTTTTATATTTATAGAATCATGATTCACTGACCGACAAACCAAGCCAGGGAAAACCTATCTTGCAGTTGAAGCATCTTAATTGAATCAGCAGCCATAATATATTTGTATGTTGGGTTGTCCAGATTATGGTTCGCATTATTGGTCCATACTGGTATATCGACCAGCTGTCGGTACGGTATGTACGAAGCCATTCTAGGGAAAACCTACCTTGTAGTTAAAGTATCTTAATCGAATCAGCAGCCATAATATATTTGTTTGTTGGGGAATATTACTTGTCCAGGACTCCAGATAATAGAAAGTAACAATAGCTGGGTCTTCCATTTGTGAAGATAACCTAGACTGTGAATCTATTTTAACATATTTAACAAAAGCCCTGCATTATCGATGCAGAGGTAAATGTTACAATATAGACACATTTTCGTAAGCAGAAAATTTGTTGAACAATATGAAAAAGGACAGCTTTATGTCAAGTTAAAACCAAGTTATGAACAGTAAATGGGGTATCTTTGATAGAATTGAAAGCATGTCTAATCAACAAAATGCAAGTACATTGCTCATATGTAGCATTTTCAGCCAAAAATTTAGAAAATTCACTATGAAATTGCAATAACATGGACAACATTAAAGATATCAAATGTATCATACCTTGCACAAATAGTGCATAAGAGTCATCTTGTTATTAGTAGCACGAGTATCAGAAAGTTTAAGAAGACTGTCCAAATGGAAACCAATAGCTGAGCCTGCAAGTTTAATCAAATTGTTGTTTAAAATGAAGGTAAATTAGAAAATCAGAGCCTACCGAATGCCCCTAATAACATGAGATTCCTGTCAGTGTAGGGTCTGAGGGTCAGGTACGCATAGCCTTACCTCCACATCTGATGGCTATTGTCATGATTTTGACCAAGTTCCTAGAGTAATATAATTGACAAAACTCACTATAGCATTATTTTCATAACTCCGAGTACAATTAATGCACTAATAAATGGTCAGAAAAGATATTATTTCTTCCCTGTTGTTCTATAGAAACCAAAACATAAGTGCATCTACAAGAATTTCTGAATTGAGCTGCTTCCTGGCCCAATGTGTGGCAGATTCTGAACTAAACCATTAGCGTCAAGTATCCAACAGAAGTTTGGACGAAGTCGAACCACTTTTCAAACAGCCGATATAGGTCAGAAGCTTGGACTAAGTCAGAGCAAAATCTATGACTATGGGAGGGTGTTGAGTGAAAACACAACCCTGCAAGAGTTGATCCCTTGAAACAATGCTGTGATTTTTGTCTCACATCCTAATTGACAAAATCATGTACCATAAGCACCACTAATTTCATTTGAACTGTAGGACTTGACTTAGTTTTCCTCATAAGCTAGATGATATTGTTCATACTTCATATTTAACTGGTCCCGAAATTTGCCATAAGTGCCACATTTGTTTTCCTATTATGCATATTTCCTAGGATTGTTGACTGCATATTACCTTCCTATATTAACATGCCCATAGCTCAATAATATAAATATGAACTAAATCGCTTCTCTTACATATTCATCATATATAATTTTATATTGAGCTGCTTAAAATGTTTCAGACATATTACTCATGCTCATTTCATTTGCAACACTAACATCTATTAGGTTGTTTCTTCAACATGTTTAGTATGCTTTTTTTTATGGAATTAGTCAGGCCAAACAACAACCATAATTTCAAAATTATTTAAACAACTAACCCTGCTTGGTTTGGATTATGTATCTGTACATCGAAAGGGAAATGTGTTTTTCATCTTGACAGGCTAAAGCCATTTGCTTGAAGCTACATTTATCCAATATTTGTTGGTGTTCCTGACATTCCCATGTATAACCCATTACACTACATTTATGAAGCATTTGTTGGTGTCCATGGCATTTCCATGTACAACCTATTATATAAATCGCAATGATTTTTGACAATTTTGCCCATTGGACAAATAAAGAACAAACAAAAATATAAAAAAATGAAATAAAGAACAAAAAAAATTAACAAACAAAACAATTTTGTTAGTGATTACAGATTTGACTACTTTTAATTGAACAAAGTCTAGCATATCTTATCACCCACATGTATGTGAGAAACAAATACCTTTCAGTGTATGTGAAAATTGGAATTACCTCTTGCAGTTCCTTGATTTATGGTATTGCCAAGGAAAAGAATTTTCTTCATGATTTCCTTCAGTTTGATAGAATTGCGAATCTAACAAGCCAATTGTCATGAATATAAATGTCATAATTAAAAAAATAGGAAGGGAAGACAGAGTATTCACACACCTGTTCACAAGCAGAGTCTATACTGCTCAAACTCTTTTTAAGATCAGAAACCTGGGAAAAGGTGGGACAGTAGATCCTAATCCATCATGTTCTCTTATAAACAAAAACAGAATAGACATAAGTACAACCTGAGAGCCAAACTGAATCTTGAAAGAAAAAACCCTTAATTTAGATTCCACCCGTGGAACTTTCATCAGCTCCAAGAAAAACTGCACCATTTAAATGTCAAATGAATATTTTCTTTTAATATAATAAGCAAAGACAGATTCAAAGCAAAGAATGGGAATGACCATGAAACAGAGAAACAATATCATTATATAGACATGAATAACAATTTTTTTTGTGCGAAGGGTAAGTGACGAAAGTGAGATTCAAACTTAGGACTTCGCGATAAACCATCAAAACCTTTACCAACTAAGCTAGCTGACACCTTCAATAACATATCATTATATAGACATGAAACAGAGAAACAGTAAAGGACATCTAAGAAAGAATCAGTTTAAAATCCATAGCTTCAGGCAAAGTAAGATATTTATACAAACTGCTTAAAAGGAGAATTCCATTCTAGCCGCATCTTGGATAAGAAAGTGGCAGAAGTCTGGCTCAATTTGTGATTGGTGTGAAGCAAGAATGAAACAGAAAACCACATTTTCCTATCGTGTATCCTTGTGAGAAAGGTTTGGCAAAGCTCTTATAATAATCTCTTCTAATGACCTCTACCCCCTAAAGCTACAGAAAGCATAACAAAAATTGAAGATTTACAAAGCTTAATACTACTTAGAGATTAACTAGGAGAAAGGAGTATAAAGATACGAATGGAAAGATGCAACTTGAAATAGCTTGTTAAAAGTTAAAACTAGGGGAGCAACCATAGAAAATGTTCAAGGAAGACTAACATATAGCAGCACATGTTAAAATAAGTCAAAACCATAGAAGCTTATTCAAGTTATGTCCAGAAAGAAGCCAAAGGTAACTCTGATGACAAGGGCGTCTCACACATGATTAAAAAACTTGAACATGAATCTAAAACAAAAGCATATCTAAGTGGATCAAGAATAAGACAAAATTTGGACAATAATTATATAGAACACTATGGTCTGATTGGAAACCAGTTGATATGATAAAGTCATGCTTGGTGCTATAACGAATCTATAATTAGACTTTAATATTTAAATTGGGTTGACCATCCATTAGAGATCTCTGAACTTCTGGAATCCTGTAAAAATATTTTTTCTTAATTTAGGGTGAGAGATTAAAGTGGAATAGCATGGTATTCCATATTCGTTGATATATGAGCACAACTTTAGTTCATAATTGAGTCTATAATCATCTGGTGTAAGTAAACATCAGGCGCATGTAAAACTTTAATTATTTAAGAAACTTATAATTAGTCAACTGGCATGTAAATACTAACACCATAAGTTCTCTTGTTTTTCTACCTAGCAAAACCATGAAAATTAATTTCAGATATATAGTCCAAGGAAGTCTCAAGGACAAGCAGTTGAGTACTTTACCTGCTCACACTTCCCGAGTTTTTCCTTGTCACCGGTATATCCCTATCAATCAAAACCAGAAAAAATATATATAAGAACCTCAATGGAAAGGGGAAGCGACTGAAGTCAAGACAAGTGTGATCATCAACAATTCTAACATGTACCTTGAGAAGATCCATTTCCTCTTTGGTTGGACAAAACTTAATGAGATTTTCCACTTGGTCAACATCCAAAATAGAGTCATCCAATGCTAAAGCAGCACTCTGAGGTATCAGATATATCATTAGAGCCACTTCCGTCTTCAAGAATACAACTAATATTTTGAATTTTAGAGTTTAGCTTGTTCATGCTATCAGTGTCTAGCTGATGAGCAGTCATGGTAAAAGAGAATAGCTCAATTTTTACAAAAGCATGTAAGGATGGATGACATATGCCTGCATAAAATGTGCATACTGTCTGTTTAGGTGATTATACATGAACATATTAGTATAATTGTAGAATCTATGTTTAGTTTTCTGTAGATACTGAGAAACAATTTACAAAAATTACATTAATGTGAGCTACAATCTACTGTGATAGACACAAAGCAAAGTCTCTGTTTTCAGTTTGCCACTAGTTTGCTGCCTAGTTGTAAGAGATGCTTGCTATTATAGTTCAATTTCTACTAAAATAGATTAATTTTTCTCAGGAGACCATTAAAAGCTTCAAAATCTGCAATACTCAACACTATCTTTTAACCTATAATATCCTAGGCCATCTTCTCACTTTTACCACAAGACTAAAAAGTAAGAACATAATTCTGCAACATAATAATTGCAAGAAGCAGATACATTCATGTTATACTAAAGATGCACACCAAAGTACATTCACGTTTAGTATGATCAACAGCCAAAACACAATTAAAAACCCAGTGTACACATTATTTAGGCTGTTGCCTACAATGCATAATATCTCTTCTGTAGTCAGAAGTAGCGGACAGATAAAGAATGGTGCATCATGAATTCTGTATCAACAATTCATACAAAGGCAAAATAAAGGGATATAACCAATAAACATAACGCACCACTACAGTCAAACTTACCATCAAGTCAGGAAGTGGCATCTTGATCTTCGTCAGCATGATTTCAGTGTTATTGGAACGTCTTAATGCAATCTATAAACAAAATTAAAATTAAAAGAGCTTGTTAATTAAAATCTATACAGAAGAAACAATGTCTGCATTCAGCCACAAGTTAACCCATGAATCATTAAAAGAACTCAAGAAATGTCATCATCCTTATTTATCAAAGCCAATTCTTTTATTCATAAAGAGAGAAAATGTAGTAAAGGAAGGAAGAAATCTTTTACTTAAAATCAAGATCTATAACCAAAAACTATCTAGCTGTCTAATTTGCGAATAATAACACGGTAGAGTTACAAAATTTATGCAACGGTGGCAGGAAAAGAGGAAGAAAAGCAGTAGGGAGCATGCCACTGATGCTTCTCCAGTTGGAAAGGAAAGGATAAGAGGAGGGGAGAATAGAAGGAAGACAAGGAGTCGAGCACACTTGAATCCCACTGACTTTCCGCTGCTGCCCTGCTGCTTCAGTCTTAGTCACATTGTTAAGTCAGTCACACTGCTGCATGCAAGGAAAAATGCTACACTTTGCCTTCACATGTGGGTTCCTTTTGTTCCTTTGCTCTAAGTGAGAGAGAGAGAGAGAGAGAGAGTTTCATTGGATTTGAATCTCATAAGTCATATGGATCCTTTCCAATACTACTATTTGATAAGAAGATAGAGAAGAAGAGAACAAAAAAAGAGAAGAAGCAAGGAAAGAAGAGAAAGAAGAAAAAGAATACAAGAGAAAAAATATATATTTTCAACAATAGCATTAAAAATGGTTAATCTTATTTCGGTTTAAAATTATTTTTTGAATATAACGAATTTTTTTTATAAATTACAGCTAAAGTTTACATAAATATCATCTTTCTAGAGGTCTCATGTTCGGGCTCATTGCATAAATATCATCTTTCTCAAAACTGTTTTCTTTCTCCAGCTGGTTCCTTCCCACTTTTCATGTTTCTCTCATATGCCCCCTAGGGAATTATCCTTCTTTTTGTGTGTACGCATAGACTGAAGAGCATTATCATGGACAATGACATATAACTTAAACAATCTAAAACAACTATAAATGAACAGTGAAAACTTCCATTTCTCAAAGTAATATTTTTAGATTTAGATATCAAGGACTTACTAGATGAACTTTATCTGATTGTGATCCAAGAGATTTACGACGTGCCTCTTTAGAGCTATCACCTGTTTTAGGAACCATAGCAGCGAAGAGGCTCTCAAGTTCTGACACATCAAAATCAGAAGCACTGCAAGTAAAAGGCTACACAAAATGAGGAAGAACATCCAAAACTAAAAGCAACACTTGTAAAGAAGAATGTTACTAGAAAAGTGAAAATTAAGCACTTGTATAACCTCAAAGCATCACCAGATCTTTGTAATTCATCCCATAAGCTTCCTTCAACAGCTAATGTTACTTTCACCCAGTGCAGCGGCTTCAATGATAACCTACGGGATGTCAAATTTGCTGAATTTACACCCATAGAACGTGAGAGTCCACGGCCTCTTCCCCCATTTGGCAATAACCCTCTAGCATCAGATAGAGAACTAGATGGAGGAGGCGGCGGAGCTCCTGGTGCCCTAGGTGGGGCTGGAGGAGGTGCACGTGCTCCAGGAGGTGGTGGTGGTGGGGCAGGTTTCTCTGAGGTGGTATGCAAAGACATTTCTAGAGCCTGCTTATACTCACCATTTCCTAACTTCTGATTAAAATTCTTGGTATCTGTCTTATTTCGAGCAACACCTTCGTCTGGCTCTCTTTTGTACTTGAATTTAATTTCTCTTAATGTATGCTGGTTTTCTTGATTGTGATCATTCTCAAGCTGAGTTGTCCTGGAATTAATATTCTCTGGATTGACTTTTGACTCAATTTTTCCTAATCTGTTATTGGCTTCTTTTGTCGGAATCAAGATTTCTGCTTTGCAACTCATGTTGCATGAGGTCATTGTCTTTTCAGAAACCAGGTCGCATGAATCTTTCTCAATGTTGCAGGGTTCAACTATATTCTTCCCTTCAACATCAAGTGTAATGATATCCTTGACCTCATGTTTAAAGTTGCTGAGTTCTACTATATTCTTCCCCTCACAAGTAACTGTGCAATCCAAAAATATCGAATTTTCACTAATAATCTTATCATCACTACTGACAGCAATAGTTGAAAATTTAGTCATTCTGTCTTCTGCCACAGTTGGAGAACTCAACATACTTTCACTATGATGTTCAACTTTATCTTGATCGGTGCTAGAATCAATCTCTTTTTCAAGATTATGTTTCTCCGGACTAGGAATTTCATCAACAGCATTGGGTCTCCTCCCGATAATGTTTTCTGAGCCATTATTAGAGTCATTGTTTTCCCATATGCTTTCAATTGTCTCTGCAGTTTCTAAATCAATTAAATTCTCTGTCATAATCACCAAACCCATTCCATTGTCAGTCTCCTGCTTAACATTGTTAATCTTTATTAATTTTTGTTTTTCATCCATTGAAGTAACAGTGTTCTGTCGCAATGTGCTGCTTTCTATCATACTCTTCTCTTCAATCTGAACCATAGATTCTGAAGTCACTGATTTCTCTGTTACAAGTTCACCGTCATGCTTACATTTGCCAAAGCCAGAACTAGTCTCAGCTGGACCAGGTATACTACGGGTTTCTACCATGATACATTTGCTAACCGTATCTGTTAACAGTTGGGAAGCCCTTGTCTCTGAATCCTCTTCAGCTTTGCTTGTCTCAAAACTACTCCTTGCTTCATTAGTCGAACTGTAGATTTCTGAATTGGGATTCCCACCATCAACAGAAGTTCCATTTCGAAATGTAGTACCTTTAGGATCTCGATTTGCATTATGCGAGTAGGAGTTGGTAAATATCTCTTCAGCCTCAAAAAAATCTTCTGCCTCTGTAAAAGCACCTTCTGTTTCATCGCCATCTTCAACCAATGTATCTGTGCTTGAGTCAGATTCAAAAGAATCGAAGTCCGAAAATATTACCTGGTTCACGCATAACATATACTTAAAATCGAATCCTACCAGGAACAAATAGACAAACTAGGAAAAAAATAGGCACCTACATCAGCTTTGAAATCCCTCGAAAACTGGTCCTTGGCATTCCATACAACATCGATCTCCTCACGAGACAGCATCAGAATGCTAGAGTGGACAAAGGCTGTATTGAACATAATCCTGAACATTATCTCCTCATGTTCCAGATCTTTATCCACATGGATGCATTCAACAACTACATCTCCTTGAACACGACATCGAGTTTTTAACTTTACTGGTGTAGCCTCTGCCTGCAGTGACAGTCCAACACTTAGTAAACTTGAAGGACAATTTCATTTAGATGAAAGAACTATGCATTACCTGTTTGTAGTGCCGAATATGCTTCTTTGTCTTAGATGTTGAGAAAAGAATCTTTGAACTCCTACTATTGGGAGCCAATGGGTCTTGACCATAAATGCGAACCATTGGCCTGCAACCTCCTTCCCCATCAAAATTAGGTACGATCCTAAGAATCAAGCATTCCAATGTGAAGGATATATCCTTTGGAGGCCATTCTGGTGCATTTCCCCGTCTTGATATGTACTGAAGATATCTCAGGTGCGAAGGTTGTGGGTTCAAAGGAGACAAAAGATGGTGTAGCTCTTTAGGGGCTTGTTTATTCACCATTTCAAGAGTCTTTTGCTCACCAGTATACTGTTTTCTGTAAAGGAGTAAACCAGCAAGCATGAAGGCAAGTACAGGCCAACATCCTCTCTCACAGTGCATCAGCAACACATTATGTTGCCCTTCCATTGACAGCCAGCTCACACTAGACTTCAAAAAGTGGTGGATCATCTCCAATGGAAGCAAAGGACACCCTTCATACTGTAAGGGATAGTCCATGACCGTCATATCAGACTCGGTCAAAATGTCTGAGATTTGGCTCCTTTTATCTCCTTCTTTGAAATTAAATACCATGAAGGAGGCATCTGGGAAATAATCATGCAGTTGGGTGACTATGCCATCCATGTAGTCCTTGTAATCATTTTCCCCAAGAGTTTCTGCTGAGAAGCAGCAGTCGAACACTGCAACAAAAAGAACAGTAAGACATTTTGAATTTTGAACTTTCTGAGAGCGAATTATATAGCAAGACCAAAAAGAATTTAGAACGTCATAGGCATAGCAAATCAGGACAAAACTATAAAACTCAAGAAGAAATCTAATACTAATTAGAAATTTAGTTTTGGGTTTAAATTTTCAATTGATTGGCAGCATTATGTTTCCTAAGATCAAACAATAAGTTTCGATAATTTATATAACCTCCAGAGCCCTTGAAAGGCCACAAAAGGTGCAGTACATTTCTATTAGTTTGATAAGAGTCAACTATCTGCGAGAACTTGTCAATTTGTGCAGCAAAGAAATAGAAAAGGAACGTCACTTCCTGAATGTCAGAGAATATCAACAACAGTCAAGAACCGACCCGCCTATCTTAACCTCAAATGTGAAGCAAAACCAGCAGAATTCCTCAAATTACCACTCAAGAGTCCATCAAGCCGAAAAACCTCATTAATTCCGAGAGATGAATTATGCTCTTCGCGCAAGGAAGGGAGGAAGTACTATAGAGTCGTTCCGAGATATCAACAACATTCAAGTACTATCTTAACCTCAACTGTGGAGCAAAACCGACAGAATTCCACAAATTACCACTCAATAAACCATCAACCGGCGAAACCTCACTGATGCCCGAGAGACGAATTATGCTCTTAGGTCAAGCGAGAGAGAGAGGAAGTACCATAGACTCGTTCCGAAATTTCCAGCAGCCGATCCGGCGGCTTACGGTAGAAGAGCCTCCTGAACAACGCCATCCGCCGGCGGCTCCACCGGCGGCCGACGCCGCTGCCCCGGTGGAATCCAAACCCGACTTCTCGACCGACGAAAGATCAATACGAACGCCCACTCCACCACGCCGCGACGGGAAACCCGGTCGCGGCCACGAGCCGCCCGCCGATCGAGCAGCTCCCCGACGGCGAGATCCTGGTCGGTATCGGTCGACCGCAAGGCTTCGACCTCTACGAGCGAGCGAGAGAGAGAGAGAGAGAGGAAGGGAGGGAGGGAGGGAAGAGGGGGAGGACAAAGAATAATTAGAAACACATTTGGTTGCCCCTTTTGTTACCGTTTGGGAGAGGAACGAAGCTGCAGTAAAAGCATTGGGACAGGCTCGGGTTCCGTTGGCAGGAGTAAAAGCACGGCGTCGCGGTCACGCAAAGCGTCAGATGAACGGCCATGATTTGTACGGTCGCCCTACGGACGGAGGATCGTGGGGGTTCGGGGCAAAACACTTTTGCGCGGGATAAACAAATGGACACGTGTCGGTGAGGGAGGCCAAAAGGTTACGTCGAGCAACAGCGCGATGGCGTAGAGAGCGGGCGTTATACTGTATCGGCAACCCGGTACGTGTGACGTGTTGCCACGTGTGCTGCCGTAGGATATGACATGGACGGTGTGTCAACGTTCGTACTTGGACGCACGTAGGTGTCGGGTGTCGAAAGCACATTATTAGATTTTATAATATTAATTAATTAATTAAAATATTCTTAGATTATAATTAAATTATAATTAAGAATTCAGATGGGTAGAATGAAAGTTCACTTTTATCGTAAGAAATTATTCTAATTATTGTTTCTAAATCCTTTAATGTAGAAATAACCTTTCAGGAATTACTATCATCAATTAAATTTGACCAATCTGTCCCAAATTGGTTTTTAATCAATTTTGACCTCAATTCATGCCTAAATCAAAATTTTGATTGGAAGCACAAATTTGACATAATTTCTATTTTAGTTTAATTAGATTTTGATTCTAAATTAAAATTTTGACTAGTCAAGACTAATTTTGAGTAAGTGAACTCTAACTATAGCGACTTAATTTTGAGATGTCTCATTAAATAAAACTGATTTTCTCATTTAATATATAAAATTATGTTAAGATTAATCTTAAATAATATTAAAAATTAATATTTATAATAATATATCTAATTAAAAATTTTAGATAATTCTAAGGTGAAATTTAATTCAAATAATCATGTTATTAGTTAGAATGATGTTTTTTTAGATATCCTTATAATTTAAAGCTATATATTCAAAAATAACGATACTATTCCATAATAATAGTATTTCTCCATGGAAAAATTAGTTGCAGGGGTGAATCATCATATATTTCCTAAGAAGCGGGTGATGCGACTCCCCCACAAGCTCACGTGTTGATTTCGATTTAAGGTGATGTTTATGTATCATCGAGTCGAGAGCGATCACATCATCGCTTACCCAAAATCAACGATGGCTCGTTAATACAAGAGTTCAACAAGTAACAGCGTTATCTCAAGAAAGAGACATGTGTATCTAAGGAAAGAATTAATTTTAAGAGTGATTCGGTTAATCAAGACAACAATATCTAAAGTGCGAGGTAATGCATCCTCTCTTCTCTTGATATAATCTAATTTTATTTTATATTTTTTTTTTAAAAAAAATAATTATAAATTATATTATAAAAAAATATTGTTATAATATAGTGAAAAAAGGAAAGTAGGAACAATGACAAGATAGTAACATACATCATTAGGGGATGAAAGGGTGCTAAATAGCATGCTGTTTTTTCTCTTCCTTCCTTGTAATGAAAACACTTAAATATATCTAAGAAATTAAATATCTTCGATGATAAAGAGTTGTGAATATATCAATTCTTTCAATGATGCTATTTTCATTTTTCTCTGTTGGACATATCAATCATCAATCCGATTCAGAATTTATAACTATACATGAATTATATGCATCGACAAGTTATTTGTAGATACGAAGTCAAAATGCAACCATACACTTAGCCAAAGGGAGCATGAAAGGTGGCATTGATGGAGTCTTTTTTGGAGAAGGCATGGTGAGTCCTCACACTCCCTGTCTGCACTCACCCATAAAAAGCCAATTCTATTCATCATGAGAGATCAGGTTGGATGATGAGCCATCAAAGATGTCGAGAGATGAATTATTTCATTGGCCAAAAGTTATGGATATCTTTTCTTCTTCTTCTTCTTCTTCTTTTTATGTTTGTAATATGAGATGATTATCTTGTTCTACCAAAATTATTTCTCACATGCATTCATATCCAAGAAAAGAAAACAAAACCTTTTGATCCAACGTGTGCTAAGCATGATCTCTTTTTAGGAGGGAACACATTGATCACTTGTTTGCTATTGTTCCTATGTTGATGACAACTGGTCATGTAAGAAAATTGATGGCAAGTGACTGGTCCAAAAGAAAAGAAGTGTTGTTCTTGCATCTGTTTTATCATCATCAAATTGCTGTTGTGCTATTGAAATATAAATAAGGAAAATCAAAGTAAATAAGACTTTAGTTACAGTGAATCTAGCATAGAGGATCACTGATGTAGCTGGAGATTTATGAATCTTAAACTTAGAAATAAAAGGTGAATTGATTCAAGTTTTAAACTTGTCTCATGGGTATTTGTTGTCATTTTATATCCAATAAGCTTATCAATATTGTATTTGATGTATTCTAAGCAAAAAAGACAATGGAAGTAACATCCCAAAGCTTAGTCCCAAAGGCGATTAAGGCTTTATTTACTCTATAAGAAGTTAAAAGGATGTACTACAATTAACTTTGGCCTAAACATTTTAACTCATGTCAATGGAACAAATTGATCTGTATTATCCATCATAAAAATGGCATGTACAAATTGTATGCATCGATGTTTAAATTCTTGCGGATGATGATTCTCATGCATCATGAAAGGCTTCCATTTCAAAATCTCTCCATATCCAAACAGGATGATTGTATACTTACAATTCCTGCAAAAGTTGGGTCATTGAGAGAAAAGAAAAAAAAAATGCTTCGTTTACTGTCGAACTTCCAGCATACATTTAGTTTTTACATCATAAAGTGAATGAAGATTGGATTAATGCTATTGATGCTAACACAGGAATCATGAGTTCATATATTGATCTACAGAAGATTGGCTTTTACAGAGCACCACAATTAGAGTCACTTTCAAGGAATTGATTGGTCTCATCGCCTTTTGAACAAAAGAGCTTCAGTCACTGCCGGCAGTCAGTGTGGATGAATCAGATGCCGCTTGTCTTTTCTGACCTTGTAATCCATCAGCAGGTAGTAGACTTTGGTACAAACTGCTGTGGCAGCTTCTACCTAATATTAGATATCACTGTTGGGGTTAACTACCTTTACCGTCTTAGTAGATGTTGGTCAAATCCTGATTGATCCAAGGGTTTTGTTTTGCGGATATAGTTTTTTACGATTACAAAACAAGCTACCCTGGCTTTCTACTTCCCTTGCTTTCTCCCTGCCACTGTGGTAAAGCAGTCAATAAGAAAACAATTCCATTTCATATAAACGTGAAACTGAATTAACAATTGAAATAAACACTTCTCGTGCATTGGGACTGAGATAGAACGATTATAATAGAGGAAAGTCCAATCGGATGAACTTCAATAAGATTACGAGGAAATCATAGGTGCAATGCTGACACCAGTTGTACATTGTACAAAATTAAAAAGTAGCTTCTAATCATTCTTTTATACTTAGATCAACAACCTTCTCGAGTGTAGCTATTGATGATTCTTTTAATATTTAGATCCAACATGTTTCGTGAAGATCTGTGGTCAATCTAGGATTATAAGGAATAGAAAGAAAATAGTTTATGTGGCATGGGCTTTAAGTGTCAGCCATGACTATTAAAAGAGCAAGGCATTTGACACGCTAGGACTCTAACCAAAATACCAATGAGTTCCAGTGCCCAATATGGCCAAATAAGAGACATGAGGTTAAGGGACTAAGGCTTGTTTTTATTTACTTACTCTCTGCACGATTACCAAATGCTTGCATGAAAGATGTTGCAAAATGGAGTCTCATTATTACCTTTTTGAAACCATGATCTCCTAACTGCTTGGCGGATGTGGCGCTCATGCTTTTGTAGAAGTTCATCAACCTTGCAAGATTGAGACAACAAAGGTCCTGAGAACTCAACTCTGTCTTGATCATGGTAACCCTGAGATTTATCAGGAGAAATTAAGTCACTGGTCAATGCGATGCAATGTAAAACATCAAACCTGCCAGACTATCTGCATACCAAATTGTTATGTCGCATTGATGATGGATCTCCCTTGCAAAGGGCTTCTGACATCTCCTGGGAATAATATGCATCTGAAGAGTCAAATGATTCTGGATGGTCTAATTGTGTCCATCTGTTCAGCATTGCGCACTTGGCCAACTCATATGGTACATGACCTTTTGAACCAACATGCAGATCAACATTTTCTTGTCCCTTGTAGTCAAGCTTGCTTTTAATATTTTCAATATTGGACGAATTTCTTTCACAAGAAAAATGGCTTTTTGAGCTAGACCTACTGTCAGATCTACCATATGCATCACCTACTCTCTGTCCTGCCCATGCAAAGCCACTAGAAGCAGAAACAAGTAATGGCCCTGGAAAAGCAAGTTCCTCTTGAGAGTTGCACTTTGCACGATGACCTTCCTCTGGACATTTAACTGATGGCATTGGCTGGAGATCTACAAACAGTCTGGTTTCACTATCTACTCTTGGAAGATCTTTCTTTACATTTCCAGCACTGATCTCGGACTCCTGAAAATTTAATCCAAACATAAAAACATACATCCACCAGTGATTCATTGTAACTTTTTTTCCTCCAACTAAAAGAATTTGTAACTAGGAAAAGTTAAATTACCTCTTTACTGTCTGCTATTTTACTGAGTCCACTTGATGCCCATGAAGATCTATGTGTTCTCGAGGTTCTTTTCGTGGCTTCTGATCCTTGCCCTCTGCCAGTAACTCTTCTTCTGAAAAGACCAAAGACCATGAAAAAGGACTGCAGAATAACTAGCTGTCACATGTTCCAACAGTTGATGACATTTTGTACCGACTTAAGTTGATGACATTTTCCTATAATTAACAGATAGAAAGTGTTTTATTTTTTTATAATTACTTTCCATTTATATGAATGTAAATCTTCTGTCTTTGCTGGTCTGAATAAGCACTCTTTAACTTTGTGAGGAAGCATATGTCATGTAATTTTTCTTAGCAGCTGAAAAGGTAAAGCGCAATGAACAACATGACATATTGGAATATCTTTCTGATTTCTTCTAGATCTGATAGAAACCCATAGATGAATAGAATTACCTGCGTGTCTCATCACGACTCTTTGTATCAATTTCTTTGGTGGGTGGGTACTTTGGCAAGCTTGAGGGTTCACAAGCGTAAGGCTTTGTTTTGAAATACTGAATAATCATGTAGAGGAAACATAAAAGGTAAGAGCAAGTTAAATTGAAATGGAAAATATCAATATAACTGAGTTATCACAGATATGAAACAATTTTCATTTAGCAGAGAAAAATACCAGCTTGAGGATCTGTATGTGTAATATAATGTAGGACCACTGTCAAAGAACTACTGCCTTAAATGCTCTGGAATGGAGAATAACTTCCAGTTATCATGTTTTTTATAAATTTATAATGCACTGTAACACTCTGCACAAATTCTTCTTGTCCATTAGCCGAGGGACCAGGCAGGTGCTCTCCAATGGTAACCACACCCTATTCCTTTTCTATTTCCGATTATACCTAATTATTTAGTTGACATAATCTTGGCTTAAAATATCTATATGTTATTTGGAATTGCTATGCTCCATATTACAATTCCACTTACACAATTATATTATCATTTTTGCTTTTTAACCAAAATAAAGCTGCAAAAGAAATGAAGTGTGTTGATAGGGAGAAGAAGACAATTTTCACCACTGAGGAGATTAACAGAAATTGATATAAGTGCTAAATATATATCAAAAAGCTCATGTAATATAGTTTCAAGGAAAGTACTCACCTCCACTTCAAGGGCACTTGTGGCAGTACCACGCTTAAATGGTTCAATAGATAAAAAGGTCTCTAACAAGCTAATGGCACTTTCTGGTAAACTTTTGAATGTCTCCAGGAGGCTACTCTCATAGAGATGATAAGGTCTAAAGATCGTAGCATGGGGTAACTTAGACTTATTCCAGTATTCATCTGGTGGAGAACCACAAAGCTTAAAGATTTTATGTAGTTGTTCAACCTGAAAAGGAAAGTTATCTTGCATCTTCAGATTTGAAAAACAACTTATAAATAGGGCATTTCTCACAGCATTTAAACAAGAAAACACTTCAAATGAACAAGCTGCAATGAAGAAATGGCACTACTTAAACCACTAACAGTTAAAATCTATTTTGCACATTTCCAGTAAATGTTTAATAATGATGGTTCTTCTAATAAATCATTTCCTTTACTTTGCAACTTCATAACTGTGAAAATACTTCTGAGATGGGCAACTAACAGATGTCGATTCTTTCCAAGTGAAAAACAGAATAGTATCTTGTTATGTACAAGATGGTTGAAGTTGATCTATACAGATGCATTTGCCATTTGAGTGTCTGAGTTATGGATATCATATGTTAGTTTTCTCATGTATATATGTGCAATGGATCCTTGTGTATGATACAGGGGACATCTTTAGAAAAAGAGAATTGTTTGTTATTGAGCCTCAAACAGTACTCTTGAGTTGCCTGGTCTAAGTCAATTATTACAAATCCACATAGCAATCCAGTTCATGGAAGAATGATGAATTATTCAAATCCAAGCTCGACAGCAAAGAACTCACTCTGGGACCTCTATCAGCCACTTAAATAGCATATAAGAAACAGTTTAAGCAAATTTCTCATAACAAGCCAGCCAACTCATGGACCCATTAGGAGAGAATTTGCTAATATACAAAAATCGAGATGTCTTCCACACACTTGTCCTGTACTTATTTCTGGCTGCTTCTTTATCTTTTCTCTCAATAGGTTGTAATAATCCAACAAAAACTATTCATTCTGCATCTGACAATTCTAGTCTATCTATTGCTAGACTTTATATAATTTCTTCCTAAACCAGGTAGTTGGCAAAGATAATTCCCAGGTACAAATTAGCATTAAAATTGTTAAAGAATAAATTTCACAATATTAATCTTAAAAATATTAATAACATTATTTTATAGAATAAAACTTCTTTATTGTGACAATTTTAAAACTAAAACAGCTTTCTCAGGTAGTGACTGTGAAGGAAATGCTCTGTCATTGTGGTTTCATGATATGAAAAAAGGCTACAGGTGACAGCATTTTTAAGCTGCTGCTATAACATCGAAAATGAAACTAGCCTTAAAAACAATTCTATTAAGTGGAGGCAAATCTTAGAAATGCTTTCAAGACAAGCTAGTTTGAGAAACAAATTCCTGTTCTCAAATGTTTCATTGTCCGAGTGATTTAATTTTCAATGCACAAAACTACATCTTTAGTAGACATTCCAGTCAAGGTGATTCCAGTTCCATTATTGAACGTTCATCCCAATAATCATTACCAATCTTTCTAATGTAGACATCTACTCTAGTCGTGCAGATGATAATTCTGACAGACAAACACACATATCATACACAAGGATCATGACAGTTACAGGGTCCAATTTTCATGACACCTTGGTTTGCTAATTTGACTTAAATCTGTAAAAGGAATCTATAATAAAAACTCTCCTTTTTAATGATTATTAGACCTTAATTTCATAACCTACAGGACAGTACACAACAATATGCAGCAATGTAACTGTTTAGGAGGAAAATGAGAGATTATTTTTATCATTATGCAGGTGCTGATTTTACAATTCATCACAATTAATCATGTTTTATATAACCCTATAAAAGTTTTCTCATTCCATTTCTTTTACCATTTTCTGTTTTTTTGTTAATAGAAATTAATTAAGTAAAAAAAATCTTTCTCCTATATGAAACTATGTATTTGTTCATGTCTCAATTAACATGATCCTTCTTTTTCTCCATGTTTTATAATGGCAACAAAAAACACTTGTACCTCAGTTCTGCCTTGCAAGATAGGTCTTCCAACAAACATTTCTGCAAATACACAACCGATGCTCCACAAATCTACAGTTGTTCCATAGTTAGTGGAACCCAGAAGTAGTTCAGGCGGCCGATACCATAGAGTCACAACACGGCTAGTTAGGGGTTGGCTATGCCCAGGACTGAAGAAATTTGCCAGACCAAAATCAGCGATTTTCACAACCCCCTCATTATTAACTAGTAGATTTGCTCCCTTTATGTCACGGTGAATAATACCACGTGAATGGCAATGCTCAAGTCCAGATAGCAACTGTTGCATGTAGCACTTGACCTGCAAATTATGGACATAGAAAAAAAATATTCTGGTCAGAAATAATTACGTGTTCGAGTATGTTATCCCAAGAAAATCTAAGACAAATAGTTTGCACTATTATTGAAAAAAATATGATCAGACCTGAGATTCAGAGAATTTAATGTTAGGAGAGGATGACAGTCCTGCAAGATCATGTTCCATATATTCAAATACGAGGTAGAGACTGCATGATAACCGAGAAGTAATCAATCCTTCCAATTTAATGATATTTGGATGGTCAAGCCAGCGCAGTATCTTTATTTCCCTTGCCATAAACCTAACACTTTCTCGCTCAAAATTGTCAAAGCGCACCTTCTTCAAGGCGACAATTTTTCCTGTGTCGAGATCACGTGCTCTGAACACACTGCTATAAGTACCTTGTCCAATCTTCACAGGCAGAAAAACCAAGTTTAGCCAGAAATAGACAGTCAAGAACAAGCTAGCTTTATGTTCAAAGAAGAAGTTTACCAATTTGAACATTCAAAGCCCATATGAAGCACAATCAAACAACCAGCCATTGGGTCTAAGGAACTAAATGTCTCAAGATCTACAAACCATTGAAATCCTGATCTATGTTTATGATAATGAGTACGTGAAGCTCACTTGTAATAATATGTATCATAGAGATAATAGCACATAAAATTTTCTAATAGAGTTTAGCTCTTAAATGAAATTTGAACTTATAATATCTGTTGCAACAAAAGTATCCGATAGACTTGCACTCATTAAATGAACAGCATGACAAAAATAGCTAACCAATTATGTATATCTGAGTCAATCTATACACAGTTTTTTGTTTAGGCTGATTATTCGGTCAATTGGAAATGCAACGACAGCAATGCTTATAGGCTCCGACTCATCTATAAGAAGTTTTAAAAAAATTCTCTTTGGATGATAAGAGTTATATAGTACAACAATTATGCATTCTCGAAAAAGAAGAACCATTTTAGAACTTGTGGTGCTCTCATATTCAATTTATGCTGGCAAGTCTCCAAGCATAAGGATAACATCTTCTTCTGTTGCCATCTTCCACCAAGAAAAAGAGAGGAAAAAAATCAACTACCATAAGATAAATAAGAGCAATTACTTAAAATATTGGCAAATTTGAGTTTCAAAAAACATTTAAGTCCTTTGTCACATCTAGCTTAAGAAAGTTACACAATAGCAGAGGATGCCAAAGCAGAATTGGCTTAAAAAATAGATAATAGATGCAGAACCACCTAGAACTTCCCTTATGAACACCAAAAGCTAAGCTTTCTTTTTGTTTCACTAATCATAATTGCTGGTGAAACAACTGTTATTAGTAAAAAGAGAAGCAACCTCAAAATAAAGAAAAAGAAACTCTTCTTTTTCTCCAAATGAAGCAAAAACATGAGAAGATGAACAATAAATGAAAGAAATGTTTATCTGGAGAGAAAAGGCCATTCTCTCCAATTTAATGGAAGAGCCAAGTTAATCTAGTCTGGGGAGCTCAACAAAAAAGGACACCATCTAGACATAGAGGTTAGTTGTCCAATGGAAAGGTTAGGGGTCACAACCTCCAAAAAGTTTGATGTAAGCATAACATGATAGTAAGGTAAAATTAGGATGATAATTACTTTCAACAGATGACCCAAAGTACACTGCGATATTACAGGGATAAGGAACATCAAACAAAGAAAGCACTACGTCTTCCCTTGAGATTTAGCAATAAGACAAGGAAGGATGAGAGAATGTGGTAAGCTACAAATGGGTATTGGAAGTAGGACACATGCGCCGGTACAGATTTGTTTCCTGAGAGTACAACAATAAAATTCTAACCAAGTGCAATTCGTCATGAATCACCATATCTTTTAACATCATCGAACTTCCTCAGCTACGCAACCAGAAAAGAGCAAATTTGGGAGAAATTTGCGTACACGCATATCATTTTCGGTCAAGAAAGATATCACTGGATAATATGGATAAATCATCATATTTAGTCTTTGATGACACTAAACAAACAGCCCATGCAAACTAGTCGAAGTGCCTATGCGTCGAATCAATTTCTTTACGGAGACGACGACTACAATCGTACCTTCTCCAGCTTCTCAAAGGAGTCAGCTTTAAGAGGCACCCAACCCTGAATAGCATCCCCGGCAACAGCACTAAGCCAAGAGGGCCATCCGGCGGCGACCTGCTCCCCTTCGATATACTTGTTAAGATTCTCTAGCCGGAAGCTCTGCGACGTGGTACAACCGGCGCTCGCTTTCCCATGTTCCTCCAATTCTAGGCAATTCCCCTCCTTCTCTTCCTTCCTCAACAGACATGCAGGCCTGGTTACCTGTACGGTCTGGTACCGCTGCGATGACGTCGAGATCGGACCCGACCGCTCCCGGTGGTCCCGCAGGATACCGGAGGAATCAACCGCCGGGGTAACCGAGACCACATTCTTCGACGCGACGCAGCCCATCCGCGGCGGCCGGGTCTACGGCATTGCCCAGGCCTCCGGGATGAAGGAAACTGGGGGCGAAATCGGGGATGCAATAGGAGCCCCGCAGTCGGGGTAATGGGAAGGAGGATCACCCAAACGACCTCGGGCAGAATTGGGTGGCCCGGGGATCCGGAAAGGCTGTAATCACCCCCTACAAATAGAAAAGGCAAGAGCTTTGTGCGCCGCTGCTCCCAATCGCTCCGCAAATTACCAGTGGAAGAGCAAAAGACAGCCACCGAAATCGACGCGGCGACGAACAGGGGAGGAGGAGATGGCGAAGAACTGTGGCCGTCGGGGCGCGAGCTTTAAAGCGCGTGGGTTGGGCAGTGGTGTCGCTTTGTGCGGTCAAGTCTCTCTCTTGGCTTCATATGGTGTCAAAGAAGCTGCTGTTTTTGGTGTTATATGGTGACATCCACTGCACTGTTTTCATAGTGGTTTGACAAAAAAAGCATGACAATTGAGTCAAAATGTCTTCCTAAAATTGCTGTATTCATTGTGATGAAGACAAGGAGAGGAAGGTGGGAAAGGAAGGATTGAGAAGTCAACTTTAGTTGACTCACATAGATGACACCAATAGATGTGGTTTTCTCTCTCTAGAATATACATGAGAGGGTCACAAGGTTTGGTGGGTTAGCACTAGGCTAAAGGAAGTGCTTTTTTCCATGGCCTGTGACTGTGCTGTCTTTTGCTTTGAGGTGAGGAGCATTAGCAACACCCTACAAGCTTCACTAGGTTAGAAGTTGCAAGATCAATGTGGGTAGTCTTCAAAGGCATATATATATATATATATATATATATATATATATATATATATATATATATATATATATAGAGAGAGAGAGAGAGAGAGAGAGAGATTTAAAATAAATTTTCTTCTTACAAAGGAATCTAAGGTGTTAATATACACAGCTTTATTTTTATAATTATCTAAAAATTTATTTCTGAGACTCGAATGATCGATCGAGTTTATTTTATTTGATATTAAAATTTAGTGTGTATTAATGATACTGATCACCTCCTAATTTATTCTGTAGATAGGATATCACTGAAGCAACATGCATTTTGGATTGTCCCAAATGTATGTATGAGAATCTAATATTGGAGTCCTGTAAGGATGTCCTACAATCCATGTTCATGAGGACACAACACAAACAAGCTCACCAAATCAACCTGCAAGGATTTAGATATAAGAATCCCTTGACTGTTGATGTACCTGAACACTGTAATAACAAGACAAAGAACAAAGAAACACTAGGAGATGAACATTTCATTGCTTTTAAGGTCATGTGTCTTGAGGTCCACTTTGCATCCTCATGTAAAGCATACCCCATTCACTGAAGCCACCTGTTACCCAACATTGTCTTTTCATCATCTCATGTTCCTTTTACTTCCATGAATGCTGACAGTAAACAAGGAAGAGACACTGCTTTATCACATGCAACACTTGATGCATCTCATATTCCTCTTCCTTTTGTCTGCACTTTATGTAAACAAGGTACAGTCTCACATATACCTACATCATTAGGAAACAGGAAGAGATGCTCTATGGTTGTAGAATAAGAATTTAGGGTCCAATAGGGTTTGGTGGCTCCATACATTCTCAAAATACTGCACTTAGAATAACCAGGACAAGTGATGAAGGGCATCCTTTTGTTCATCATTGTCATTGGAGGAACCAAACTTTAGCAAAGTTTGGTGCCTTTCATCACATGGTGCATCTTTTATTTCCATTTAATTTGTCTTCAGGTCTTTTGGCAAGTCCTAAAATTAAGATTTAAGTACCATTAGAAATGATAGATCAGGACAAGAATTTGTGATGCTAAATTGTAGAGTCAGTGTTCTCAACAATGAGCTTTAGGGAAAAGAATTAATTAAATGAACACTCAAAATCAGGTGCAATGGAAAAACATTTTCTAATGGTAAACTAAGAAGGGGGTAATTTGGTGTGGCATAAGGTTGTACACAGCTCTCTTTTTTCCAAGGACCAATCACTACCATATTTCTCTTCAAAGGAAGAAAGAAGAAGCAGTTATTAAGGGGGGAAAAGGATTCTTAACAAAGGCTGGTATAGCAAAAATTTCACTGCAATATAGTTTATAGGATATATGATGCAGATGACCATTCATCTTAGTCCAGTTATGTTCCATTGGGAAGACTAATGGCATGAACATTGCCCAACAACTCACACAAACTGCATGATGATGTATAAGGTTAGTCACATTGAAAATGCTTGTGTATAGGCAACAAAACTTATGATGCAACCAAATGCTAATTGCTGATATGATATTTGAAAGGACTAAGACTTAGATTCTGAATAGATTCAATACCTGTGCAGATCATATTACCATAGGATTCCAATAACTCGGTTTTCCTGCATGTCTTGCTTCGCTTGACAGAATGAGCACCACATACTTTTCCTATACTATTGTACAAAATCCATGAATTTGTAATGCTAATCTGAAAGATTTTCCAAGGATTTCAAGTGCCACAAATACGCTCACACAATTCAACCAAGTCATAGCCAGGTACTTTATCCAATCCCCTTTCTCTAGCTGTAGCTCATATATTTGCAGCTTCACTCCACTTACCAGTCTGAGCATACACATCTGACATAAGAGCAAAATTACCTCAGTTCTAGAGCTCTTGTTCATCAAACTGTATTCTTCTTCAAGTTGACCTGCTCGACCAAGTAATTCAACCATGCAACTGAAATGCTCTTCCTGTGGAGCAACCAAATAACCTGAACTCATGGAATTAGAAATACACCAGCATTATTGAATCAGCAGTATCTTCCGCCAGATAAGTTCTGTAAAAATACCCATGACTTTCATTTCCTGGCTCTGAACTACCCAGTTGAGCGTGTAGGCTCTTCACCATTTTTCAGCATTTCCCGAAACAACACAGCAGCTTCATCTGCAAGACCAAAATTTACATAACCCATCATCAAAGTGTCGACGGAACTAAGCCTTTGTCTGATGTTGAATAAAAAATCATCCTCACATTACTGATTTGCTCACATTTTGCATGCATGTGTGGAGTCAAATTGGAACCACTCATATATACCTGAAGGTTATATCAGAACACAATACCATCGACCCACCTGCCTTTTCTTGCTTCTCCGGTATCAGCAAATGCCGAAACGGACTCACCACCATGCCAAGTTTGGTTTTGCACCTTCTTTGACCACTTCACCGAACAAGTTAATGGCATCTTCAATTACATTATGGGGATAACCAGAAATCATGACATAGGACAAGACTGTGTAATGGCAGATCAGATGATCTAATAGTTTATATTTTCTAGCCCTTTTCATCTTATTGCACTTTAAGCACAGTTCAATGAGAGTAGTGGTGATAACAATATCAAGCATAATATATTTTTCTTGTTATGGAAACCAACTTCACATTTGAACATTCATGAGGACAATACAACTTCTCAAACCAAAATTAATAGCTGAAATGACGGTATCAATTCCTTCATACTCTAAATTTGGATACAACATAAGAGCATCATCGAAATGGCCAACTCTAAAATAGCGAACAATAAACAATTAAATTCAAGTAAACCACCCAAATTAGCATTACAGTTCAAAAGCTTGGTCCAAGATAGATGCCAGCTCCAAACCCATGAGCAATAATGTGAGCTTGAATCTTGGCAATCTGATCTCAGTGACAACAGATAAACCTCTCTGCCGTATAGGATTAGCAATTCCACGACTCCTTGAATCCAATATGTCCCGAGGGGCACGGGTCAAAGAATCCTTTTCGATTGTAACTCAAATCCAATAGGAAAAGGCAGAATCTTGTCTTCTAATTCAAAATGGACTATTCTGATTTATATTGAACTGGCTTATCTATCTTCCAAGACATGATATGTTGGGCCTTATTTTGCAGTCAAAGAACAAAAAATGATACCAAAATAAATTTGATTTCCTGGAAAGAATTAATTCAGTAGAGTAGGAAGGGAAAGGTCCAATTTTTAAGAAACCAATCAACGTCAAAAGAAGGCAGCAAGATAAAAAATGCATCGAATTTAAAGACGTCCATCATCAACATCTACACATTCTTATCATAGCAGAGAAATAGGATTGGAACCCTAATGTTCTCCGGTTAGTTATCTGCTTTGAGAGAAACGGGGAAGGAAATTGCAATCAAATTAGATCTGTGGCACAGAGAACCGGCAAATCAGGAGAATCGCAAGGATGCATCCAATCCACCAACTCTGAGAACCCTGTCAGGGTCATCCAATCCGCCGGTGCCGGTGCCGTTGCGCGACGGCGATGCCGGGAGCTGGGACGAGAAATAGCGGAGCCGGAGTTGCTCGGCCCTGGTGGGGGACTCGACTTCACACCCCTCGTCGAAGTTGAGGGCGTAGCTGAGGGGGTCGTACCTGAACTCGGTGGAGGGGCGACGCCGGTGCCTCCCCCCGCCGCAATGGTAGCCGAAGCCCAGGCATTTGCCGCGGTGTTCCGGCCGGATCAACGAGGTGGGCGACCGGGCCGCTCGCTCCTCGTAGACGGGTTCTTCCTGAGAGACGGAGGGGCGGAAGCAGGAGGTGAAGCAGTGGTGATGGTGGTGCTTCCTCTTCAGCGGCGGCGTAGCGGGAGGTGAGCCGGATGGGCGGTGATCGTACTCCATGCTTCCGTAAAGGGATTATTTCGTACGACTCTGCCATCACTTCCCTTATAAATAAATAAATATATATATATATATATATATATATATATGTATATATATATATTCGACACTAAACCCGAATTAGATTTTGGTTTTAGAAGAGGGAAAAAATAAGCATAAAAACAGGCACAACAAATTATGCTATATGAGGTAAATATAGATATACTTAACTAAAATTGAAGTCAACCACTGTTATAAATACCTACTTCTACAACTATACATAGTTGGACTTGATGGTGGATTAGAAGCATGATAAAGCATGTTTAAATTGGATCATTTTAAAGTTTAATCCAAATATTATTGGTCGAGTTTCTATTATGAATTATATCTAATGTAGCATAGTAGTTCTAATATTACAGAGCTATTATTGTTGTTATCACAAAGATATTTTCAAAGCATTCATGACAGTTAACGAGGAAAATCAATTAATTGAGTAATATCATCCTAATTATTTCTATTAGATGAATGTATAGATAAAATGTCATGAATGCTTGCTCAAAATTGTTATAACCATCATGGAGTTAAAGACACAATCCCTTTTTCGGTATTTACACACAAATGCGATGACTATAAACTACCACAAAACTTCTTGTGAATAGATTGAAGGAAGAAATGAAAAGGCAGTGTGTGTTGATCATCACAATGCACAAGTGATCAAGAGACATACAGAACTCAAAAAACTGCAATATGTTGTCATCCATAAAAGCAAAGAAAGGACCAGTTCAATGGTTATACTTTGAGGGTTGCAACAAAGCCAAAAGATCTTGTTTGAGGATTTACAGGTAAGATAAGAGACTATTTGAGACAGGAGAAAGAGCTAACAGGAAGACAGTTGCATAAGAATAGGAGGATGATTAACTCTTTGTTCTCAGTTGTATCGAAGACAAATCTTGCAAGTCCTGGTACCGGATACCTGGGAGACGGGAACTTCATAAGCATGAGCAGAGTAAAGAACAGTAAAGACGGTAACTTCAAATGTTTAACAAGTTAATTAAGATTAAAATATTAGAGCAATGTGATATGCAAATAAAAAGGAGCAAATAGTGGGGAAAATATATTTACCAAAATCTGGAAATATCAAACTTTAACCACAAAGTGCAATGGAAAAATAGAATAAGCATCTTGTAACATGAGAAGCTGTAAAATAGATGGATAGCTGTAGGGCGGAGTTGTCGTTAAACATAGCAACCATATGCTACAGTGATGTAAACCATTAATATCTGAAGAAATGTTGCCACTTTTCCTGGGAATCAGACTAGGTAATTCAACTATGGTTGGTCATCAACACTACAATGAAAATTTAAGTTAAGACAGAAAAAAACAGTGATGATAGATGATTCACTACTTGTCCATTTCAAAGAAAAAATAAAAATAAGAAATCAGAATGTTGTTACCGCTTACATTTTCATCGATCGGTGCCCCTTCCCTTCTTCATTGAGGACCGATGTTCGATGTGCCTGCAGTATTCTGTGATTCCACGTTTTTAAGTCTCCAGGCATGTTCATTTCCTGAAGCTTTCGTGTCAAAAGTAGCACCATATGCAGCATGATTTGCTTGCAAAAAACAAAGACGAGCAGCATGCTTCTTTCCAGCACGATGCTGAGACAATGATATTTCATTCATGCATGCTACTTTGCACTCGTTATACTACAACATCTTATTCCCATTTGGCATGGTAGACTTGTTCTTATAGGTCCATTTTCTCTTTGTGCAGTGTGCTTCACTTTGATAGTGTTGCTCGAGATTAAAAGCATTTTCACATTTCACCTGGCAGATATTGCACCAATACAGGGCATTCTGGTTCAGTACAGCTGGTTGAATAATACACAGTCGAGGCAAAATCAGTTGTCCTTCAGATGAACTGCAGTGGGCTGGTTGATACTGCAAATGCTGTAAAAGATTGTCGGCCCACAATCCTCTAATGGCTTCAAAGAAGATTGTTGTAAATGCAACTCTACAGGTGCAGCCTCCCAGTATTGTGGTGGCTGTTTCAGAAAATGACTTTAATGAGGTGCTGGTTCCGGCTGGACCATCATCTTTCGCTTGAGACAGCATCCTGGAGACAACTCCTAGAAAAAAGAAAAGGTCTAAATTAGACACAGGAATAAACCACACATTTCTATTTAGATTTTTAAAAATCATACAGAACCAGATGGAAAACATTGAGTAAAATTAAAAATCAATTCTCTTAAAACATTTGAAGCAAAAGTTTGGAGCAATTAAACATTTGAATGGTACAAGCTTTCTGACAAGAGTTCACCCACTGGAATGTACGTTCAGGCCAGTATGCATCATAACATATTCACATAAGACAAGCTTCCTCAGTCCCAAGCATTTCATGTATGATTGTAGAAAATTTAGGAAAGGTAAAAGGAAAAAAGGTGTTGAAATACATAGTTCCTTATGATGTATGCAAGACAGAAAGATAAGAAAGTGCCCATTTCTTCAGCACAGGCATCGTGTATCAGCAATGATTCCATAGTATACTGTGATACAGATCACCGTAGGGATTTAATTTGTTTGTCAAACAGATCATGCCAATTTAGAAGAAAAACAAGGCTCGTAGTATATGAAAACAAGTTATCTGAAAAGGTAAGTATACTAAGATTTTCTCTTATGGATTCAGTATCTTATGCACAGCCATTGGTCCTGTTAGTAATATAATAAGAGATGTAGCTCAGTAAAAACATGTCACCTTCAAGCAACATCAATATTTTTGTGCAGAAGAATAAAACAACAACAAAGCCATAAAGTTTTAACTATTTTTGGGTCAGCTATATGATCTTTTGCTGTCATTAAAATCTATAAGAGACCATATAGTTAGTTAAGAATATTTAAATATTTATTTATAAATTATATTAAAGTTTTTAGATCTCCCTCTAACTCTCCTCATACCACTAAAATCTTTACCAGTCAAACTGACAAATTCCTTATTTGTGCAGTTGAATAAAAAGGCAAAATTTAGGTATGAAGTATGCACGAAGATAGACCCAGAAAACCTAGTGGGGTAGGTAATGTAATAAATTATGCATCAGAGAGAGCACCTATAATTCGAAGTAGAAGCATGCCATATTGTTCACTTTCAAGTAATAAATAGCAAATTTTCTACAATTTACCAAGAAACCCATTGCAGCGCTATGTCATAATTGTATCAATAGCATTAGCAAATAAATTGCTCATTATGTTTTATCACAGAATACTTATGTCCAAGAATGTAATTTGAAATAGATATGTCCTAGAATGTAATTTCAAATAGATAAAATAAATCACTAAGAAAGAGAAAGAAGATGCATAAACATTATAATGAACAAGTAAATGTACCAATTAGTATTCCCAAGATAAATAAAAAAAGGCTCTCTCTAAAATTGTTCCCCATGCATAAACATAATTTCTATCTGTTTCATGGTCTTCAAGAATTAATAAAAAATTGCTCATTTTTTGAAGATTTTCTCATATCATTCAACAAAAAGATAGTTGAGAAACAAAATTGCCACATGGTGTAAACTCTAGATGTGACATGTCATTAATTCAATATTAGAAGTCTCAATTTATTTACGTAAGAGAATTTTCTATGAAAGGTCTATGGTGCAAATTCATATGCATCATTTGTGGTATCAAATGGTGGTAATCACCTCCACATATGCATCATGTTAAAAATAAACTGCCAAAAAGCCAAATCGTCTCCACCTATAGCTGAAGTCAAAATAAAATTAATCAAATATTTCGTGAATGATTTTTGGTGCAAGGGCCCTTCTAAAATGCTTTGCTAAATGTGGAAGATTGGCAGAACTTGATTTCATACGAAATAGTTGATGTACTGAAATATGCTTCTTGTTAAAATTTTATATAAGATTAACCCACAATATCATTTTTGCAAATTATGAATATGGCAATGCAACAAACAAATTCCTTATGTGTGTGTGTGTATAATTTATATATACATATATCAGCATATAAAAATAATAGTAGTAGATGACATATAAAACAAATAAAAAAATACTTAAAAGAAAAGTACTCAAAACTAGTGTAAGTCGCCTCTTTCTGCCATGAACCATGAAGATGGAAGAAAGACACCATCATTTCGTCCCAGTGACTTGCTTGCGTGTTATGTAACACTCCACATGTTGGTTGAAACCCCAAACCCTTTCTGTTCTTTTCCATTCCATGATAATAGCTACAAACTCTCAGAGGTTAGTGATTCTTCTGATTAACAATTATTTTGCTGGTGATGTGCCCTTATTACTTGTTTTGACAAAAGCAAAAGTATGGTGCAATTTTCCAAAACCATGCTAAAGAATCAAATGGCAAGAACTGCCCTGTCATCTGTCTCTCAGGTGATGCCATCCCTAACCAGAAGTTCCTGCTACTACTACTGCTGCTACCCGCAAGCCAATTTGATGACCATACAGATGCACGGGCAAAATATGCTGGTATCCATGCAGGATTACCAGCATATTTTGGTTGCTTCTAGCCACAACTGCTCAACATAGTAAATTACAGCACACTCTTTAGATTCCCCTATTTTATGTTATCAACAGCTTCATAAGCATTAACATCAGACTCCATATTTGTAAGGCGAAATTCCTTCAAGAAATTTAATTTCTATAGCACCAATGTCATTTCCTTATTTTCGGATCCAACAAGCCAACACTAATCTTCTCCGAAAGCAACAATCTTGTGAAACGAACCCAAAACCAGCAATGCGATATCAATAGGATTCAAAATCACAAGAAAGATACGGAAACTGCCGTCAGACCAACATTTCACCTAATTACCGACTTGCGAAGGGCAAATCAGTCGATCAGGCAATTACAAGACTAGAATCATAAACAAAACCAAGCGGAGGGGGGTTTGACACTAAAATCGGATTCGTGCATCAAAGAAGGCATGGTGGGTTACACTTGCATTTTGGCTAAAACCGAAGCTACATAAGAAGCAAGGGAGATTATAACCTAGAAATCGGAGCGTGCTTTACAAAGCCGGGAACAGCAAACAAGGAGAGACATCTCGTCGGAGAATCCCTAGCCGTGGATGCATCAAAAACCGACTTCTATACCGATGAGAGAGAGAGAGAGAGAAGAGAGAGAGCGCTCCAAAACGCGAAACCTGCATGATGAAAAAGCGGCGCTACCTCTCGACGTCTTTACCCGCTTGCGTACTCGCGTGTAAGCGGACACGATTGGAGGCGCAAGGAGGTAGGGTGTGGGACTCGCTGGGTCAACGCGGGTAAGCGTTGTCGGCGACGTATACGTCCATGAACACTCGAACTTCATTTTCTTTCACATATATTATGATAGTAATTATTTATTTATTTATTTTAGAACACTTCCTCCAAATGTCGAGTGCTATTAATATCAATCACTTCACCATTAGAGAACATGATGGCCATAAATCATGCAACAACACGATTACCATAGATAAAATGACTCGTAGAATTGGCTTGGAATTTGATTAGAGTTTCATGTTGAGAACCTTAGCAAGAGGGACATAATTGAGGTGTGTTCCATCGAAATCCGGAGGAGAACCATCTGCATGGTGACGAAGCACTGATTTAGGCAGTGATGGGGTGCAAGTGGGGCGCTTGCCATTGTTGCTGTCTTTCTTCGGACGTTGCTTGGTGAGTCCATCTGCAGCAGCCCTTCTCTGTGTCTGCTCTGCTCTCCACTTCCTCAGCTGATCCTCGATTGCTGCTTTAGCTTTCTCGGCCAGCTCGGCTCTTCTTGTTGCCTCTTCCAGGTTGGATCTCAAATCATTGATTCTGGAGGTTGCAGCTTCCAGCTCTTCGTTTAACATGTCAGCGTCGGAAGTTCGTTCCAATCCAGAAGAGCGAGGAGAATCTGCAATTCCCATGGCTTTCCCGGTCTCCAGGGTTAAGGAATTGCTTTCCTTGGCTAAGATTGCAATTCCACCATAACCATCAATGATATCGCTCTTTCCACGTTTAGTTTCAGTTGCATAATCAGCTTTATCATCCATCTCCATTTCAGATTCTGCATCCTTCTTTTGTACTTGAGATTCCATCTTAGATGATTTAGTTTCTAATGCTAGTTCCTGCACAGCAATATACAACCCAGATTGAGAACTCGTAGCCCTTGCTTCGGCAGCCTCAGCAGCTAAAATTCTTCTTGACCCGCTTCTGTGAAGATCTGCTTTCAGTGTCGCAATTTCTTCCTCAAGATCCATCTCTCTTCCCCTCATTTCGGACATCTCGTGTTTCAGTGTTTGCGTTCTACTGGAAAGAAGCTCAATCTGGCAATTTAGATCAATCACTTTATCTCTCTCACTCTGAAGCTCGTTGCGCATTCTCTTTTTTTCGGCTTCCATCAAGGCAAGATAGCTTGAATACTTGGATCTTGCCCCTTCTGGTGTTTCCATCTCCGAAGCAAGCTGGTTTGCATCGTTAACAGCGTCTAAAGCAAATCTCGAGCATGCACTATACAACTCTTCTAATTGCTTCAGTTCAGATTGCAAATAATCAACTTGTATCATTTTTGCGAATAGTTCATTCTCCATGTTATTCATCATATCCAAGTGATCTTTCATCCCTTCTAGCTTATCATGTGATTGAGCAAGTGCCTCTTTAGTAATGTGCAACTCTGCTTCCATTCTGAAAAAGGAAGCAGACCTCTCTTTATCTGCTTCAATGGCTGCCAGTGTAGAGGAAAAAAGGGCTTCATTTAGTGCTGAAATGTGCAGCAATAACTTCTTTCTCTGATCACTCTCTAAGAAAATTGCTTGCCCCATCAACTCAGCTCTTCTTTCTGCCATAGTATGTAATCGTCCTGAAGCAGTGACCTCAGATCCCATGGCATGTTCTTCTTCTTGCAAGGCTTTCAACTCATCCACAATGCCAAGTAGTTCCGATTCGTGCTCGCTGGATCCTAAGAGCGACTGTGCAATAACTTTATTTTCAGATTCAAGTTTAGCTATTTTGGTTTCAGCTTGCTGACATTTTTCCCTGTATCTATCAATCTCAGCAACAGAATTTTCCAACTGGATTGACAAATCATCAACTGTTTTATGATAGACTTCAAGCTCCAGATTGGCTTGTTTATTGGCAGATTTATTGATTTCCAGCTGCACTTTGCAATTAGCTAACTCTTTTAACAAGAGGCATAGATCTTTCTCCTCCTGCTCCTCCTGGATACTCAAGAGAAAAAGGATAAAGGTCAATTTTAAGAGGGTCTCACATTTTCAGTACTTGGGGTCTTTAAAATTATGCTTCAAAGATTATCTTACCATGTTTCCTGAGGAAGCGCACCTATTCTGACCGGCTTTCTGCTCAAAAAAGGATAATGCAGTCTTTACAGATTCAAAAGGCTTAGTGTCTATTCCTCCCATTCTTTTCTCCTAGCAGATGAATAATATACGCAGTCAGCATCTTGAACCAATTTGGCTTAAAACAATGTTCTATGACCAGTAAATAAATGCAAGTTTTGGCAACCATTAGAAATGAAACAGAGAACATCTATTATCTTACAATTGAGCAAAAAGATACATGTACAAAGAAAAAGACAAAGAAACAAATAGTGATGATAAGATTGCAAGCATAATTATAGTTTCTGATGAACTTTTCTTAAGCAATTTTCTTTTGAAAAGCACAACAAATCTAACATAATGTGGAGAAGATCATGTGTGGTGTACTAAAAACTCAGCCCACTTTTTGAGTAATACCCTTTTTATTGGTTTCAACCCTGAGATGCCAAAGGCAGAAGCATGAATCTTATAATATGTTGTTTTATCTCTATGGGAGCATTTTGTATTTAAGATCTTCACTCTTATGTGCTAATCCATAGTTTCAATTACCATGACATGCCGACTGCATCACATCTATTCATTAGTCAGTACCATACTGATATACAGAATATGATCAACATATAAGCAATTTTATAACATTTTATTAGTGTATCAAAGCATAACATATTGTGCCAGTTGGTGCATACCACTGATAGAAGATTCTAGTATGATACCAATACTCTTGTATTTGTGATTTTACATAAGGCTCCCACCTAAATCTATCTTGATGAAGCCCTTCATAATCATCTTCACATGTGGGCACATGCTTATTCATCGAATTACATGAGTCCTTATCTATAGTATACAACTATACATAAAGGTTATTTCTCTCTCTTCTTTCTAATTTATTAACAGTTAGCTGCAGTTTAAAATGTCACAGAAACTGCTGCATGGTCTTTTGTTATGAAACTAGGAGGACGTAATAATAAGCTTAACAAGAGAATGTTGTTCAGAAAAGAAGAATGAAGAGCATCCTAGACAATAGGAAGTTGTTTGTAAAACTTTTACAGCCTAGCTTTGAAACACCTGATCTAAAAAGGAAGAGCCACAGAATGAAATTCCTCCAAGTGAGATTATCAAGTACAAGTTATACTGATCCAATTACTAAATATTTCTTTTTCATCATTGCTTCAGATATTGCAGAGAACACACACGAAATTTGTAACATCACATAGTACTTTGCGTCAATCTATGCAACCATAAAATAGTAATCTCCAAGTTGTACTAAACATGGAGAAACTTTATGTTCCAAGTAACGGATAACTGTCCACTATATGGTGGAATGGCTTTCTCCCAACACCATCAATGGTCAACTTACACCGACAGAATTGCCAAATTTTACAGAAGCCAAAAGGAAAACATCCAACAAGGATGAAAATATAAGTGAACCTTGCACTCAATGATCACACACACATTTTATATCAAAGCTGATCCAAGAGGAAGGACAAACATTGTGATTTAGTAGTATTTTACTGCATACTGAATTCAACAATGGATTTCATTGTCACAATGGCTAACAAATCTTCCGAAATTACCTAATCACACGTCCTCGAATTAATACGAAAACCTAATCCGCAAACATCCAAATCGTAACAATAATCACACCTATCAATTTTCAAGGGAACAATATTTACAGAGATCAAACAACCTAATTTCATCAAACAATCAAACTTACGATTCAATTTCTCGCACCATCTGCTTCAACCGGAAGGAAAAGGAAAGATCTTTTACCCTAACAAACAGTCGCAGAGAGACGAATGGATCGGAGGGGCAGGAATCAGCACAGAGGCTTGGAGGAACACATAAAAATACCCTCTTCCAGGCCGCGAGAAGACGAATCGGCGAAAGGAACGAGGGGAAGCACCAGATCGAGGCATCCTCGAAGCCGCTCGTCTCGATCGAAAAGGTCGAGTGTCGGAGCCACCAATGATAACCCCGTTTTGGTGGCGCGGGAAGTCGGTCGGGTACTCCGCATGATCAGTTTAAGAGAGCGTAGGCATGAGATACTCCATCGCTGATTGGACGCCACGACGGTAATAACGCCCTCTTATCTCCAAAAACTCCTTAGCCAAAGGGACATTAGAAGAGCAATGGTGTCATTGGATTTGGTTCTTGGCATTCTCTTACACTCTCCTCTATAAATCAATTCAGATGACTTCCTTTGCGTTGTAGATTCGGATGTGGCATATTCCTTAGATTGTTTCGAGGCTCCACGAGTTAGAGATATGACTTCATTTATTGACTTCTCCAACACATTGAGTGTGCATCTTAAGGCTAGGCTGTCTGCTGTTTGCATGATACAGTGGATCCTCTTTGGGGTTGTCCAGCAAGAGGTTTGTGGTGGCGTGGCGTGCAGCCTACCATCTTTCAAAAGCTGTCTGCTGTCTGAGTAATCTAGTTGATCTTGGTTGAGTGGTTTGGGGGAAGCCAGGAACAGTTAGCGTGGATATTTCCATCACCCAAAGGCTGCCTTCTGTTTGGACAGTACAGGTGATCTTAGTTGAGCGCTTTAGAACGAAGTCAGCGCGTAGTGCCGACACAGCGTAGCCATTTCGCCCCTCTCTCTCTCTCTCTCTCTCTCTCTGTCTCTCGCTCGCTGAAGACCAACCCGATGGTGTCGGACTCGTACATTCGCTGAAGCTGCCCCTGGAAAAGGACAAAAGATTAAGGAGCTCTACGAGGGATCCGAAGGCGTTTCGTGGCCTTGGAGGGGCATTTGCTTCGTCGGCCGCTGCCCCGTCGTTACGCGAGCCGAGATGAGATCCTTTCCTCTTAGGTCTTCCTTGGCTGCTACCAAGGGTTAAAGGAGACGGCTTTCTCTTGTTTGGCTCTTGTACTCGAAATAGGGAGGAAGAGGAAAAGGTCTTGTGCTTCAGGTGCATGAATCTTCTAAAAAGTTTGTTTTTTTTTTGTTTTTTTTTCAAGTATTTAGGGAATTTGAGATTTCTCTGGTCCTTTTATCCTTGTTGGGTTAGTTTCGCTTCATTTGGGATTAGGTATCATGGGCAGGGTCGAATGGAGTCCGTCTGACGAGAAGTCGTTTGGATTAAGGAATTTTAGGGCAAAGAAATTGGAAACATGAGATCGAGGGGCTGAAATCGTTGGAAGTTGGGTTTTGCTGTGAGAAATATCAGATGTCGATTTGAGGCCTTAGAAGAATTCGTGCTTGATTGTTATGATGAAGATTTAGTTTTTCCCTAAATTTAAGATTAAGGGATACAAAGTAAGCCGACGGGAGTGACTGCTTTTTCACGCATTATCAGGGGAAATGCATGATATTTTGAACGTAGATCTGTGTGAAACTGAGTTGTCATCGAAGCAAATACAGCTTTTCTGCTTTGTGTGCATTCTTTTCACAGCAAATGATTAATCTGTCTGAGTAAATCCAAGACAGTGGCTCGAACTAAAACGAATGCATAATTCTTAATCCATCAGGACGTTCGATTGTAACATTTAGTTATAGCATTCTCTGCTTCTTTAATTCATTCTGTATCATCCAATTGTTTGTACTTCTTCCTAGCATATGTTGGTTAAAATGGACTTCATGATGAGCATTACTTGTTTGCAATATGAATTAATTTGTCTTATCTTTAGAACTACCATTTTCTGGAGACAATGAGAAAGTTGCTCAGGAAACAGTCATTTCTTTTTCTTGGCAGCAAATGCGCAGTTTGTTCAGCCATTATCATAGATAAACTTCGTCGCTGGAGAAGGATTGAGATAAAAGAGCGTATTTTGTACTTGTGGATGCAATGTTGTTACCAAAGCAATATCGTTGCACTCATTCAGCTGCATGCATATGCATTAAAGGTCACCTGAGCGAGGATGCCATCTATCTCATTTTCCAACATCTGAACTGGAACCCTAGACTGATTGCTCTAATGTCCTGCGTTTGCAAATGGTTTGATGAGATCTCCAAGCGGATCTTGTGGAAAGAGTTTTGTCGAACAAGGGCCCCGAAAATGATGCGGGATTTGCAAACCTCTGGAAGTCACAACGTTGATGGAAACTGGAAGGCACTCGCAAAGCTTCTTATCTATTGTTCAGGTTGCAGCCAGAGAACCCTTTTCGATCTCACCCATGTCCCAGGTCATTTTGTTTACAAGACTAGGTTTTCTAAGACTTTAGGAAAGAGTTTTCTTATCCCACAGTGCAGGAAAGATGTGTTGTATGTGTCGGACCTCTGTGAACATCTTGATCAAGGAGATGATGGTGATGTAGGATTTTTCCGAGGTGTGTTTGAGTCGTTTTCTGTTTCAAGGGTTAGAAAGATGCTGATCGATAGGAAGGCCAGTCTCCATCCTTCGGAGGTGTGTCCATATTGTAAGGCAAAATTGTGGAACATGCTGCAGGCAAAGTTGATACCAAGGAGTGCCGGCATCAGATTGGATGCTTATGATGATAGCATCGAGTGCTATGTTTGTCTCAACGGCCACATGCTTGGAGCATGCACTCTTCAACCACTCTCGGATTCTGAGGGGGCATCTGATTTCGACGAGCACAAGGTAAGCTCTCTTCTTCGTGAGCTTATTCTAAAGATCCAATATCCGTAGGTTTGTGATCAGTTTTCAGATTGAACAAGTTGTCAAAACTCCCAAAAGTTCGGACCGGCTATAAGAAGACTTATCGAAATAAGCAAACAGATACTCTTTGAATTCAGTAACTACACATATAATATGTGTAATGATTGTCTATTAGTTTTTCATACTAACTTTGATAGTTTGCGTTACGCTTCGACACATTGTCGTAATGTCTTTTTTCCCGCTTTTCTTCTGTTACAGGATCGATTGAAGCCCAGAATTCTGAGTGCAACCATGTAGTGATTTTTGATCTACCTGGTTAAAGGCCAGAGGAAGGATCAAATGAATGTTCCATGGATTTCTCCCATTTGATCATGAAATCATACAAGAATTGTTTGGCTCGGTAAGCATACAGCCGGATGTTCTCGAGTGAGTTGTATGACTTTTCAAGGTCAACGGGTAGAAATATCCATTGATGTAACACCAATTACAATTTCATATTTAGCTGAGAATTAACCTTGACCTTTTTACTGGTTGTATAAATCATCAATCTCGATCAAATGAGAACAGTAAGAGACGTGATCTCAACACAAAAATGTTATCGTATCAACAGACAAAATCTTTTTATTATGTCAACAGGTAAATGGAGAAGGGAACTAACTACATGGAGCTATCTGCAAGCAGCGGCATTGAAGTCCTTGAGCTTGACGAAGGCAATCGAGCGAGGAGCAATGCGAAGAGGATCAGAAGCTTCGACGACCATGGGATCCAAAGCAGGAATGCTGTTCTTGCCGTCGAGCATCAGTTCCTTTCCATTGAGAAGCATCACAGTGCTCTGGATATCGCCATCTTTGGGTGTGAGATGGAACGCCTCCCTGTTGCTTTGATCCTTGTCGTCTTTGGCCAACGGACGAGACCTGATCTCACGTTCGTACGATTTGGTGCCGCCATTAATCTCAATCTCGAACGTGATCGAGTCCGAGAGGTTGATCAGCAGTAAGGTAACACCACCAGGCTGTGTTCAAGAACAGAAGGAAGAAGGGTTGAGGCGGAAAGATGCAACAAGAGCTAAAGCATGAGTCGTGCTGTCGGTCTCACTGTGTTCTTGGAGCAATGTGCGTAGGATCGAAGGTGTGCGTGGCCATCATGCGACGCTTCCAGAACGCCAGTCCCCATCAATCGATGCCACAACAGAGCGCTGATCCAAGAGGAAGAAGGAAGTTGCTCAGCCATGGCTTCGAACTCCAGCTTCGAGATCAAACCATGGAAACAAACCTGTAGTAGTCGGGGTTTGGCACGAAGGTGTCGTGGTCGAGGAGGCCGTAGTTGCCTCCGATCAAGGTTTGCCGGCAGAAGACCTTGTGATGATGCCTGGACACCATCCCAAGCTGATCCAAGTACCTGTTTCAGCCCAGCAAATCGATCTGTCACACACACACCTTTAGCTTCAGCAAGCGATCGCGGATGGTATCTACCCTCACCAGAAACTATTCGCAAAGGTGTTCGACAGCCCCTTGCCGCCGCTACTGTGAGCGCCACCGGATTCTCCCACCCAGGCAGAGCTCCAAGGGCCGGCGCTCTTGATGGTACCCACGACCTCGTTGTACGTAGGGACAATATTGTCCAGCACTTTGGGATCGGTGACCTTGTCGACTAGGTTCCCATCACCACCTGAAACGCATCATGTCAAACACCCTTCACGATCAAGAACTGCGCGAGGAGGAAGCCGAAGGAGGTGGATGACCTGAGCCGAGGTTGTAGACGTGATGCGTGACGATGTCGACGACGCCGTAGCCCGAGGTGGACAGCATGTTCTTGTACCAGTCCTCGACGTAGAACCCACCCGGCGCCGCGACCTTCGGTGGACCTCCGAATTTAGCGTACTCATCGATGAGCATCGCCTTGAAGGCGATCAGGTCCAACCCGTACTGGTTGCCGTCCACGAGGAAGTTGGATTTGCCGCCATTTCCGCACAGCTCGTTGCCTTGGCGCAAGGAAGAAGACGCGAGATCAGAGAAAGACAGGGATTCATGCATGCATTGCAGAGCAGGGGCTTCAGCGACTACCAAACTCCCATGAATCGACGTATTGTTTGTTCTGGACGATGTGTCGGATGAAGAAACGAGCATTCTCGGGGTCCCATGGACCTGTATACACACCATCATGTCCTTTAACCCTCCCATGAAGGGCATTGATTCCGAAGGTTATGAAGGCCCTGCAAACAAGTAGCAGTACACCATCACCACGACCCTCGCAGCATGACAGAGCAACAAGAAACAGAGAGAGAGAGAGAATAAGAGAGAGAGAGAGGACATGAATTACCCAGTAGTGTTGAAGAACTCATGGATCTTGTCCCATCTGTTCAAGCTGATGCAGCCGTCTATGAACTCGTAATTGGAGTCGCCGTCGGCAGCTTTGAATTCGTGGCATGGTTTGCTCGTGTACTTCACTTGGTCCTGCAACGTCCCTCCGAGTCGAACTCTCATCGTACCAAAGGCTGTCAACACCACAGCATCAAACTTAGCACGGATATCACATCGAACGCCGAGAATGACATCCTTTGCTTCACTCACCCGTGATTGCATTACGAAGGATTTTGTTGCTCAGATCCTACAGTAAGATACAGCACACTTCAGCATGCATGCATATGATGACACGACTGCTCGAGACCGATATGCGTACCAAATTTTTGATGGAGGTATTTCCCCAGGAGCAATCGCCGAAGTCACACTTCTCGGGCGGCCACCAGTCGACGGTGGCGCAGATGAAGTTGCCATCTGTTCTGGCGACGACGTAATCGGCCTGGACGCTGACGTTTACGTGCCCCGGGTCATCCTTTGCAACGATGCTCGAAGGTAAGCTGGAGAAGAGGAGGAGGAGAGAAAGGACCAAGTCGGCGGTGGCCATGACGAAGGAAGCAGAAGACTAATGAGGGAAGTCCGGCCGACGGCTTTTGTAGTTGAGATGAGTGAGTGTGGATTTAGTTGTGGATAGGGAAGGATTAGGATAAATGTGACTGTTACCTGATATGTTGGAGATAACAAATGGATATGTCTATTGCGCTACTCGATCAACGTTACCCAGAAAATAAAGCAGACGATGACTCGTCCGCCAAAACGGGTCCCGCTATGGCCCATCTAAGGACAGTTTCTGCGTTGCAGGTAAAGCAGCGGGTGAGTACGAAAGGCAGGTTTATTTTCTTTAATGTTTCGTTCATGGTATCTCTTGTTGATCTTTCTCACCTTAATTTTAGCTTGTCCAGCTCTGAAATATATGTTGGAAAAGCCATATATATATATATATACAAGTTTCGGTATCATCCCATGGTGACTTGCTCTATATATATATATATATATATATATATATATAC